TTCCTCCTCTCCCCCCTCACATTCTCCTCTTCCCCCTCAACCTCCTTCCTCCTCTCTACCTCGCGCTCTTGCTCTCCCTCGTCACCCACATCCCTTCTTGGCTTTCGTTGTCTTGCCCTCCTTCCTGTCGATTGCGCACTTGCTGCTCTTGTTTGCTGTCACTCAGCGGTTTCTCAGCGGTCAACTCCTCCTTCTCGCGCCTGCTCTTTGCCTCCTTCGTGACTTCCGACGAGCAAGTGCATTCCTCCCTGCAGGTGAAGGAGAAGGCACGAAAGAAAGATGGGGAGAGGGAGGAGGAGGAGGGAGGACGAAGGGGGCGAAGAATCAGGGAGGGAGGAGGGAGGAGTGAGTGAGTGAGTGAGTGAGTGAGGGAGGGAGGGAGGGAGGGAGGGAGGGTGGGTGGGTGGGTGGGTGGAGGAGGGAGGGAGGGAGGGTGGAGGAGGGAGGGAGGGTATGAAGGGGCAATGTCTTTTCGCTTCATAGGATCAGAGTCAAGTACCTCTGAGATCGTCGGGTCGTCATGACTCCATCGTCTACAACAGCACACATCACTGCTCGCCTCCTTCCCCTCACGCCAGCATCACGTCACAGAGGCTGAGATCAGCCCTCCTCCTCGCAACCGCATCACCTTGATCAGATCAGGCGAGCATGCCAATGAGCAGAGCAGAGACTCACTGGACGTTGTGCTAGCGGCATCTTCGATTCCTGAGTTTCAAACCTCAGATCCCTGGGATCGGGTAGCACGGAGTACCAGAATTGCCGATGTTGCCTGCTGTGCATGCAAGAGCAGCACGAGGCAGCAGAGAAGAAGCTGCGCCATGCAGGACAAGCAGATGCTCTTGGCCTTCATCCGCTGGAAACCTTCCCTAGAGATTTCAACGCAAGTTTCAGCTCTACTGTTCATCCATTTCTCCGTTCTGCTGAGATAGATATTTTGTCTCTGCTCTGCTCTGCTCTGCTCTGCTCTGCTCTGCTCTGCTCTGCTCTGCTCTGCTCTGCTCTGCTCTGCTCTGCTCTGCTCTGCTCTCTTCGTCTTGCTTGCTCCATTCCCTATAAGCACCACCCCACCTCCTTCTTTTCCTCAAAATTACCCCACCCTTCCTGTTCATTCCAAAAATCATTTTATGAGATCCCTACCCCTACTAATGACCTGTCAATAACCCCTCCTTCACCCTTTATACCCCTACCCGTATCTCTTTCTGACCAATACCCCTTATACGAATTACACCCCCACCCCCCCTTGTTACAGGCTATCACCCCACATGATCCATATGTCGAGTGGCCCCACCCCCACCCCCTGCTTCTACTATCGTCCACCCCACCTTGGCTGCCACAATGTCTCCCGCACCACCCCCCTCTCACTACCCCTGTCAACTACCATCAACGCCCTACCAGGTGCAAGATCTTCACCCCCCTACCCCACCTTTGACCTTTTAGTACCCGCCCCCTCTTCAGTAGACGGGGCGGCGGCCACTTGTACAAAGGACTGAGGGGTAGGGTATATACCACTACCCATGTCTTGGTGTGACAATAGATCTTTTTATACTGGTGGGTAGTATCACCCACCCTATGAAACAGCTTTTATAAGTCTGGAGAGCGAGTTATTTGGTTGCTGCTGCAGCGAAGGACAGGGCAAGAGGAGCGAGGAGCGACAACAAGGAGAGGGGAAGAGAAGAGGAAGAAGGAGAGGGAGAGAGGAATAGGAAGAGGAAGAGGAAGAGGAGAAAGGAGAGGGAGAGGGCAAGGAGAGGATAGTGCAGGGGACGGCGAAAGGTTAACAAGTTCAGGAGTCGTCACAGCTCCTGCATGGTTTTGTGGGCTTGTTCGCCAGGACCGTTAGAGCGCGGGGGCAAATTGAAGGAGGAGGACGAACGAAAAGGGTTCAATTGCGCTTGAGGTTGGGAGGAAGAAGGAGAATCAAAGCAGAAAGTTGAAACATCTTGTTAAATCAGTGCTTGCATTGAGATCGAAGTGGTAGTCTTGTCGCGGTAGGGGCATGCGGGCCGGCTGGAAGGATCTCCCGTCCTTGTGAGGGCTTGTTTGCGAGAGCTAGATCAACGTCGACATCATGAGCAGCGATGAGACCACGAGCGAGCAGCCCGCGCGGCCCATCATCACTGAGAAGTACAAGCTACTGGGCAAACTCGGGCAGGGGAACTACGGGCACGTGTACCTGGCGCAGGACCTGGAGACGAACGAGAAGGTGGCAGCCAAGGTTCTCTTCAAGAAGCCTTACTGGAGCGCGACCGAGTTCCAGACGCGGGTGGCAAAGGAGGTGACGGCCCTGCAGCAGGTGCATCACAGGAACATCATCAAGCTGTTGAATCACTTCCGAGATGAGAACGACGAGCGGTACTGGGTCATCATGAAGCTCGCCACGGGAGGAGAGCTCATGGACAGGATCCTGCACAGGTTCGAGAACGGGAAGGGATACACGGAGGCGGAAGTGAGCAGGATCATCAGCGATGTCCTGTCTGCCCTGAAGCACATGCACGACCGGCGGATCGTCCATTGCGATCTCAAGCCGGAAAACATCCTCTTCGAAACGCCAGACGAGGACAGCAACCTCTGCATCGTCGACTTGGGCTTCGCTTCCCTCTGCGAGGACGGGGAGTTCCTTTCCAAGTTCCAGGGCACGCTGGACTACATGGCGCCGGAGCTGCTGGGACGAGGGCAGAGACGGTACAACGCCAAGGCCGACGTGTGGAGTGTGGGATGCTTGCTGTACGTGCTCCTGTCGGGAGCTCTTCCCTTCCGCAGGCGATGGTCGGACTGCGACGCGAGGACAGCTGACATCCGAGTGCGGGACCTGATCCTCAAGGGGCAGGTAGACACTGAGAGCGGGCCCTGGCAGTCAGTCGCTCCTGCAGCGAAGCAGCTCGTGATCTTGATGCTCTCTAAGGACCCTGAGCGCCGCCCGAGCGCTGCCGAGTGCCTCGAGAACGAGTGGCTGAGGGGAGGAGCGCCGGCCAACGACCTGTCAGACCGAGTCCTGCAGGAGCTGAGAAGGTTCAACAGCAGCCGAGGGTGCGACAGTTACTCGTCGCACACCATCAGTGGGATCGTGACGCACAACGCGTCTCCCTCCGCCCTCGCAGCGATCTCTGCCCAGCACTCCGCCAACTCAGTTTCGCATGCCAACATCCTCGCGCGAGAGGGAGGGATCCAGCCCCTAGTCTCGCTGGGGTACAGTAAGGATGAGACGGAGAGGAACAGCGCGGCACAGGGGCTGGCGAACCTTGCCATGAAGACCGAGTACCAGCAGAGCATCGTGGATGGAGGAGGAATCCGCCTCCTCTGCTTCCTTGCGCTGGCCGATGGCTCTCCTGCACAGAAGTTCTCAGCTGCATTGGCATTCAACAACCTTGTCAGCAACTCCGTCCTCCGTCTCCCCATCGCTCTCGAGCATGAGAGGTACGATGCTCACGAGGGGGGCAGAGAGCCAGCTCAGGTGATCCCCGTCCTTGCCAAACTGGCCACGGACGCCATGGGGAAGGATGGGGAGAAGAGAACGCTCCTACAGGCGGTCTCAGCTCTCAGCCAGCTGGCAAGGGAGGCGTCTCTGCACGACAAGATCCAGGAGGCAGGAGCCCTCCCCCTCATCATGTACTCAGCTGACCCTCAGCTGCGCTGCCCCCTGTCGTTCCGCAAGACGGCGCAGAGCGCCATCGAGTTTGTCCTCACCGTCGCTGTCCCCGATGGGACGCAGGCGGTGGAGCGGAGGCTCCGAGCGCTGCAGTCGAGGGCGGAGCTGAACGACGCTCTTGCGCGCGACCACCAGAGGAAGCAGATGCTGCTCATGCAGAAGAGCTGCCGGGATGCGACTGCCTCGGACAAGCTTGCTCCCTTGGGGATGGGGGAGACGACGGGGAAGAGACCGTGCGAGGCCCTCAGCTGGGACAGCGACGGCTATCACCAGGAGCCGTCACGCGCCATGAGCATGGATAGCCCGTCGAGCTCTCCGGGGCTGCACCCGTCACAGGCGGCATGGAACCACTACCCCGCTGGGTTCTGGGAGGAGGCTTCAGGGATCGAGCAGGACGAGAGACAAGCCAAGGTCGCTGCTGACTGGGCCGCCGCATGCATGCGAGCGCTGGAGCAGCTCGAGAAGAGCCCTCACCTCAAGGCGGCACTAGCGCAGATCGGCATCGCCACATTGATCCCTACCCAGGTCGCGCTGTCGCCTGACTCCGCTCAGAGCTCAAGGAGTTCAAGCACGTAGGACAGCGGGCAAAGTAGAGGAAGGGGAGTTGCGGGGAGATGTAGGAAGAAGTTCAGGGTGAAGGGAAGTTGGGAGAAGGAGCCTGGAGAGCCTCCTCGGAGGAATGAGGTGTGGGGATCTAGTGTGGAGGGAGACTCGAATGTGGAAGGCGGAGGAAAAGTAGGTGATCTTGTGGTATGAAGAGAAACAAAAAAGTGAATGACCGATGTCAATCAACTTGGCAAATGGAATCCGCTAATGAATCGAAAAGAATCGCGACTTTGAGAGCTGGCCCACTCAGCCTGACGGTGACCCGTTGAGTCACTGCCTCTCTGTGTGGGCCGGGCCCGCCGGCCGTTCGCCGGGTCACTGAGAGTCCCGGCGGTCCCCGGTCCGTCCTCGCAGTACACCAAGCGTACGGTTTGTGTCAACATGGAATAGGGTGGGGGTGATCAATAATTTTTCCTGGAGTGGGTAGGGTATAACTTGGACCCTTATGAAATAGACTTTTTGGTCTCAAGATGGGGGTATTAGTGTCACGGGGTAGTTTAGGAGGGGTAAGGTATATTTTTGAATGGGGGTAGGGTGGCGAGATGAAAGATGGAATCTGAAGGGGGAGGAGAAGCAGACTCGGAGAGAGGAAGAGAAAGAGAGAGAGAGAGAGAGAGAGAGAGAGAGAGAGAGAGAGAGAGAGAGAGAGAGAGAGAGAGAGAGAGGAGAGAGAGAGAGAGAGAGAGAGAGAGAGAGAGAGAGAGAGAGAGAGAGAGAGAGAGAGAGAGAGAGAGAGAGAGAGAGAGAGAGAGAGAGAGAGAGAGAGAGAGAGAGAGAGAGAGAGAGAGAGAGAGAGAGAGAGAGAGAGAGAGAGAGAGAGAGAGAGAGAGAGAGAGAGAGAGAGAGAGAGAGAGAGAGAGAGAGAGAGAGAGAGAGAGAGAGAGAGAGAGAGAGAGAGAGAGAGAGAGAGAGAGACAGACAGACAGACAGACAGACAGACAGACAGACAGACAGACAGACAGACAGACAGACAGACAGACAGACAGACAGACAGACAGACAGACAGACAGACAGACAGACAGACAGACAGACAGACAGACAGACAGACAGACAGACAGACAGACAGACAGACAGACAGACAGACAGACAGACAGACAGACAGACAGACAGACAGACAGACAGACAGACAGACAGACAGACAGACAGACAGAGACAGACAGAGGAGGAGGGAAGGGAGCGAGGAGAAAGGGAATGGGGAAGAGGGATCATGGGGAAAAGAGAGAGTTCAAAGAGTAGTTAGAGACAGTGACGATCATGCAAAGAGGAAGAATTGCAAACTTTTCTTGTACTCTCTTCCAAACTGTCCCATGTATCAAAGATTCTTTTGTTGATGGAGTGAGGGCAAACAAGGAAGATGGGAAAATATGCTGCGATTCATCCCACAAGACATGACAACAGTGACTTTTGCTGTGCTTTGATAGACACCGCAGGGTCGTTGTTCGGCGTTTGACAAAGCTCTCAGTTCAAGTTGGAGAAGATGTACAACGACGAGACTCACGTATCTTATGCTAGTTTGCGGAGTGAAGGCACTTCAAGCACAGGTCCCTTGCCCACACATGAACCGTTCCTGAAGCAGCTCACGTCAGTTTCAGGGAGTTACGAGAAGGAGACAGGAATGTACAACTCGTCCGAAGAGTCGGAGGTGCCCTCAAGAGCTGACTTGGAGGACGAGGGTGAAATGGATCCGAGGCATGTAGAAGACATTGTGCTGAGGCGTGCGGACAAGTACAAAGTGCCGATAAAGATCCCTGACGTTGGAATTCTGGGGGACGATGTGCCTGGAGATTCTTTCGATAGGATCGCATCCTCCTCTTCCGCGTGCTCCAACATCTTCCACGCGATCCTGCAGCGATATCACATCTCGCAGGACTACGTTCGCTTCTGCTTGCAGTCACTCGGTACGTGCGGTCGACGCCTCTGAGTCGTCTCTGACTACTGGTGGGGGAGCAGCGAGCCGGGACGTGAGGGGACTGACGTCGTTAGAGTACGACATGCAGGTCGAGAGCCTCGCACGTCAGCTCGATGTACGACTTCAGTCCCGTGGCTCCCTCGGGCTCATCCTCTTGTCCGTCAGGTATCGGACTCCCACGTGCAAGAGCTTGTGAGAATAGGGGACCAGCAGCAAGAAACACTCCTGCTCTTGCAAGAGGAGGTTCAGAAGAAGGTGATGGAACAAGGAGACCCCCGTGATTACTGATAGCATGCTCACAGGAAGGACACACTCAGTTCCGACTGAAGAACATGGAGGCCTACCTTGGAAGTCTGCTGGAGGTGAGGGCTGTCACGTCCAGTCCCTCGGCCTCAGAGGTTGTGCAGGAGAAAGATCAAACCATCCGATCTCTCCAAGAGAAGATGGAAAGCTTGGAAAACGGGTGAGATTGACCCAAACTTTGCGTCCTCGATCTGACCTGACGCCTTTCCCCCTTGACAGCATGGAAGCAAAGGCGGTAATGGACCATGTCTCTAGATGACTCTTTCTTAATGAACCTTTCGTTGTGCTAGGAGGAAAGAAACGCACCGGACGTCGAGAACGAGTATCAGCAGCACATCACGGTATGTAGTCTCCACGTTATAACGTGTGTCTGCTACCACCAAGAGCTGACCGCTCTCGCCCAGGCGCTCGAGCGGGAGCTGAATGAAATCAAGGCAGGAGCATGATAGGAGGCGCTCCCGTCGTGCTCTGACGCTGTTGTGTCCCCCAGCTGCATGCGAAGGAGATGGAGAAGCAGGGGGTGGACCTTCAGCTCCAGACGGTCATGGTGAGTCCTCAAGGCTACCCGACATTTGCCATGTGACATGGGAGCAGGTCACCGAGAACGTGCACAAGATGAGTCTAGAGCTTCAGCGAGAAATCAAGAGGATAATGTTCATCCTGCGCTCCGATCACCTCGAGCAAGACAATGTCGTCGAGCAGTTGCTGGTGAAGGCGGCAGACCAGGCGATCGTCTCCCATGGCTCCCCCGCGGCAGCTGACGGCCTTCCCTTCAGGTGGGGCTCATACAGTACGTGCTTGACGAGGCTCATGACCGAGCGACCGCGTCCGAGGAGCATCGAGTTGGAGCTCAGCAGAGTCCCAGAGCCCGAGGCCACACGTCGATGGCTGGAGGGGAGGAGGAGGAGCCTTCCGTTGTCCATGGGGACGAGGAGGCGGGTCAGCGTTCGAGGTCAGGCAAGCTTCTGCTCCTGATGTGCAAGTGACGTCGCCAAGAAGCTCGGAGCTGGACGACGCGAGCATGAGTGCGTTTGCAAACTTGCAAGAGAGGTGAGGAGGAGGAGGGATCAACGTCACGGTTGTGACATGTACAACAGGCTAGCGAATGCTGAGGTAGGGTTCTGTCCATCGTGCCAGCTGGTTGACATTGATAGGCTATCTACGGGAGCTACATCTTCGGGAAGGCTCTCTTGCGGTATCCGGTCAAAGGTGACCACACTACGACAAGCAGTCTCATCATCGCTAACTGCCGCCTGTCTAGACATGTCCCCAATATCTCCGCCACCGTCATTCCGCGGTTTCGAACAACAAGAACAGCCGACACAGCAACTGTTCTGCTAGCAACCAGCGTAAAGACCAGCGTAACAACGTCAGGAATGCTCACGTCTACATTCCAGCCTCAGAGTTTTGTCATAGAAATCTCTTGTGCTCTGCTCCAAACCACACAACAAGTTGCAAGTTAGAACCCCGGTCAAAGGGTGCAGAAAGGGACGAATCCTCTTTGCAAAGGAAACGCACTTGGCAGCTGGGGATGAATGATTGCAACAGCATTTCGACTCCACCACACAACAAGTTTGTGCGAATGCACTCTAGAATGCTCTTCTACAGTTTCATGACAATGAGTCCGTCTAGTGGGCCGCCGAATTGTCCACGTCGTACTGGTGCAGGTGCTGTTTGACACGAAGCGTCAGGCATGAAACGAGAACATCATCTTCACCAAGGGGTGCTTGGTAGCAACCACGTTCCTGGGTGGAAAAAGGGAGCCATTATTGCACAACCCGACCTGTTCCATCTTGTCAGCTTGTCTTCGATTCCATCAATTCGCAACAGGTACCACTGCTGTGCTGAAGGCGAACAGAGGACAGGCGATCATTGCCATCCTCACAGAGCCAAACCTCGCTCCAACCACTCCACTTGCAGCGCAGGCACCAATCACGTGGTTCAACAGGTCGTCCTTCCCGCGAACCGACTCGCTCGCTGCTGCTGTCGCTGTGTATACTCCTCCGACCGCTGCGACTGTGACGGTGGACGTGACCATGTTCGATAACATCTTTGGAGAGATTGCAATCTTGCCCGTGCCGGCCTGCCTCTGTAGAGCCAGACCGTCAAGAATTTCATACATGAAACGCATGAAGGCAAGAGACAAATGGCGGCTTCACCAATCACTCTTCAGGTACGGCCCCCCCTCCCTCTTCCCCTCCTCTCCCCTCTCCTCACGCCCTCTAATGCTTGATATCATCAACAGAGTCAGACGTTTACCTCGCCCAGAATAGCATTGACGGTCCCCACCATCAATCCAATCATCCCCCCGCTAGCGGTAGCCCCACTGATCTTCTCAAAGTTGCTATGCGGAGTTAGACGGGAATAGACGATGAATCGTGATGATACCTCGGCTCAGTCATGGCGTTGGGACGATGTTCCTGCTTTCATGGCAATATCAAGAGCCGAACATTGGAAATGAACAGGAAGAGAAAACAACGAGTTCGCGTAAGAACACAACCGCAATCTCATATCCATGAGAAATCTGGAAATTTTGAGCAACATGATCTCATTGAATGCCAATCGAGGTTTGGCTACAGTTTTTCTCTACATTACTTCATGAAATACCCTACTGTCTCTCTGCTTCTGCAGGCTCATCTCTCCTCTACCACTAACATCTCCTCCTCTTCCTCCTCCTCCTCTTCCTCCTCCTCCTCTCCATATTCTTCTTTTCTACCCTCCTCCTCTCCATATTCTTCTTTTTCTACCCTCCTCCTCTTCATATTCTTCTTTGTCTTTCTATCCTCCTCCTCTTCATATTCTTCTTTGTCTTTCTACCCTCCTCCTCTGCCTTCCCCTTCTTCTTCCCGCATTGTTCCCCTGTTGCTTTCCCCGCTTGCCTCCCCTCTGCCATCTCCGCGACCTCTCCTCCACCCCTCCTCAAGGTGTCCAAATGTACCCCAAGAATACTACCCCCTACCCCACTTTTTGATTCACATACCCTATCTGTCAGTATCAGATACCCCTCACTATCCATTGAATCTCTATCAGACCTGCGACTAGTACCCTACCCACCATCTATCCCTTTCACTCACCACCCTACCTTTTTTCAATACACCCCCTTGTCTTCAAAAAACATCACCCCTACCCCGTCAGATCGGTTCCTCCCACTCTTCCCCATATGATTACTACTACCCCATCAAAGATCCATCTCATTGGGGGTGATGGTACCCACCCCCCCACACTATCACCCCTGCAAATTATATAGTGCTGTTCTCCGATGACCCGTACATCGTGAGTAGGTCTCAACCCCTGGAGGTTTGGAGGTACTCCTACACAATTTGAGCTCAAAATTTTGAAATTGAGCTATAAATCTGAAATATTTCATGATTGCAATGAATATAATTTTATATCAGTGCTTATGAGTTATACGCATATTATGTATAATTATGTATAAACTGCAGATGCATACCCCTTCGCCTCAATGGCGGCATGCAAGGAGGGGGGGAGGAAGCGGCAGGAGGGGAGCGGGTCATGGCGACGAGGGGAGAGGAGGCCTAAGTCAAGACATGCAGTATGATTGTTGACATTACTGCGTCTTGACGACGCTTTTCGTACGGTATCAGCATTCCACGGGCGATACAACCCTTGTCGAGTGGTGCCTTCGGCAGTAGGGGCCAGTCTTTGATATGAAAGTGCCTTTGCCTGAAGACAGAGCGTGAAGAGTGTGAAAGAACTCTCTAGAAGCATTGATAAGACAGGTTGAGAGGAGCCTTTACTTACTTGCACTCTGAGGTTCTGCCTTGATACAACAGATCCACCAAGATGCATACCGACCAGGAGCTGGCGGAAAGGGAGTACACGAAACACTTCTCCCAAGAGAGGATCTGGCTGAGGAACTTCGTCAGGAGCAGTTATTTTGCATTCATCATCTACGCGCTCATTTTCTTCAACACGATACTGATAGCGTTGAACGACATCAAAGATGACTACGATCCCACTTCAAGGCTCAAGGACGTGAACAAGATTGCTGATTGGCTGATCGTCTCTGTCTTCACCGCCGAGATGTTCCTGAAGATGGCAGCCCTTGGGATCGGCTTCAGGCCTCCTCTCTCCCGCAACGTCGACCCCGAGCTGGCTGGATACTTTGCGAGTGCATGGAATCGGCTCGACTCGTTTGTTGTGCTGATGAGTTGGATCTTGATCCCCATAGCCAACGTGAGCGGGTCAGGAGTTAAGAAGTTGGTGCAGATTTTCCGTCTCACTCGCCCCCTGCGAGCCTTGAGAGAGCTGCGCAACCTCAAGGGAGTCTCGGCCCTGATCGAAACCTTCCCGGTCAGCATGGCTTCGTTCTTCGACGTCACCTGCCTCCTCCTGTTCTGCCTCGTTGTCTTCGCCACGCTGGCGCTCAACATCTGGGGCCTCGAGGGCAGGTTCAACGCGAGGTGCGTCGTGGATTCGACGGACAAGACCAGGAGCCTGCAGGTTGCCGGTTTCCTTCAAATGCCATCCCCTGTGCTCTGCTCGGGGTCGAACTGCTCTGCTGGATTTCACTGTTCCTGTACTCCTCTCGTGCTCTCTGACGGCTCCATCGCGCGCAAGCCTTACGAGTACACCGACCCGCTGACGGGAGACGTCGGCTGCCTGAGGCAAGGGACCTCCCAGCCATGGACCAACGGGATCGAGACGGTCGACCCCGTCTGTCCTGACCTTGGCTTCTCTTGCTGGAACAACGTGGGGTTGGGAATGTACACAGCCTTCAAGGCGGTGACGCTTGAGAACTGGTCACAGCTGATGTGGTGGGCTCAGGACGCAGGCAACCCCACTGTCGGATGGATCTTCTTCCTCTTCCTCGTTATCCTTGTCTCGCTCAACATCCTCAATCTGTACGTGGCGTGTATGAGCAACTCGTACAGGATCGTGAAGATCCGCAAGGAGGAGGAGCTGCAGCTCCAGCAAGAGGAGGAGAAGCTCGGCATCCATGAGGGGATCGGTGGGACCGAACTGCAGGAGTTGGACGACCCGCTGCTTGCAGGGGAGAAGAAGGTCACGTGGAAGGACAGGTTCCAACAGCTTCTGGAGCTGATCACAGCGGACTATCAGATAGCACAGAACCAGGAGGTTCTGAATCCGCTCTCGCATGCTCTGAGGAGGATGTTTCTGTATCCCAACAGCGTGGACGAGTGCGGCAACAGGATCCCAAGCGCGATCGAGAAGATGGCGAGAGACAGGGAGATCGCGATCACGTGGGGGCCTGAAGTGTGCCGCTTCCGAATGTACGCGCTGAGCAGCGACGTACAGCTGCTTCCCGAGCTGAGAGTCGAGGGCGAGGAGACGAAGAGCGGCGGCAACGAGCCGTGGGGAGCGAGTTCTTCGGCTGATATGACTGAACTCCTTGAGGAGGGTGTGGACTCTACGGTGAACAAGGTCGAAGTCCGAAACGTCCTCCTCAAGTACAAGAGGCTGGTGGAAGAGAGGGAGACAAACTTCTCGCTGTACGCTCGGATCGAGCCTGTGCCGTACGCTGATGTGTTCATCCTGTCTTGCATCGTGATCAATGCTGCGAGTAGCTGCATGGACCATTTCTCGGGGGCTCCTGTCCCCACCAAGTTCCCGGCAAGCCTCTCCTGCTGCAACCCTGAATGTACAGTGAGGAGCGACATCCAGTGCCCCAGGGGGTTGGAGCAGATGAGGTCAGTCTGGTTCAACGTGATTTTTGCCTTCGAGCTCATCTTCAACGTCTTCTTCACGGTCGAGGTCGGGCTGCGAGTCTTGTCCTGGTGGAGCTTCCGCATGTACATCCTGCATCAGTATCCCTCCAACGTGATCGACTTCCTGGTCGTCTTCGTCTCGGACGTCCTCTTCCTCCTCCAGTTCGTTGTGGGCAACCTCTTCAACGCCTCCCTCCTCCGGTTGATACGGCTGACGCGATTGATCCGTGCCCTCAAGTCCATCAGGCAGATCGAGATCGTGTTCAACGTCATGAGCAAGGGCTTCGCCGCCTTTAAGATCTGCATCTACGTCTTCCTCATCCTCCTCGGCTGGCACATCCTCATGGCCCTGTTCGCCATGCAGCTCTTCCGATGCCCTGTGCAGGACAGCGCTGTCTGCTACCGTGTCAACGCCTCCCTCCCCTGCCCGAAGTTCTGCTCGCAGGAGATCCAGGGCGAGTGCTACTTCACGTACAACGAGCTGTGGGATCACTGCCCATGGTCTCCCCATCAGAACTTCAACACGTTCGCCAATTCTATCACCCAGTTGTTTTTTGCCACCACCACCGACGGGTCGTTCACCAGTAACATGCAGAGCGCGATGCGGAGCAGCGATTCGGTCTTGCCAGGCCTCCTCTTCTTCCTCGTTTTCTACTTCATCTCCTTCTACGGCATCACCAACCTCCTCATCTGCGTTATCCTGGACGAGTTCGAGCCCTCGGACAAGCTCAAGGCTGAGCTGCAAGTGGATGACTTCAGGAAGAAAGCGGTGGAGAAGCTGTCAAGGAGGATGATGCGAGAGGGGCACTCGGTGGATGACATCGAGCAGGCCATAGAGGAGCAGCGGGACATCGACTCCTACATCCAGATGATGAAGGAGGAGGAGGCTAAGGAGTCGATAGCCGAGGTCTGGTCCCTTTCCTTCCTCCACCCTCCTCAGCCCAACGCGACCTCGCCCGAGCTGGACAAGAACTTCAGGTGGTACATCAGGAACCTGGTCGAGAGCTCACTCTTCCGCGTGTTCATGATGACCACCATCCTCGTCTCCACCATCTTCCTCGCCCTATCCAGCCAGATCCCGTCGGAGTCCGTGGTCGACAGCGCGTCCATGAGCACGGCGGACCTTATCTTCTTCATCATCTTCAGCTTCGAGTTCGTCGTCAAGGTCATCGACCGGGGGATCCTCTTCGAGGGCCCGGGGACCTACTTCCGGGAGCGGTGGAACTTTCTCGACTTCTTCCTGCTCCTCTTCCAGGGCCTCGACCTCCTCGGCCTCAATGGGATGAAGTCCTTCCGAGTTCTCAGGGTCCTCAGGCCCTTCAGGACGCTCAGGTTCCTCAACAAGGTCAAGGTCCTCCAGCAGCTCCTGGTGGCGTTTGCCGACAGCATGTACCAAGTGATCTCCCTCGTCGCCCTGTGGGTCATCGCCTTCCTCGTCTTCGGCGTCATCGGCATGAGCTTGTTCTCCGGTCAGTTTTACAGCTGCAACGACAAGGACTTTACCGGTGGGCCCATCAACCCCTTGGAGCAGGTGGGGTCCAAGGTGGGGTGGAGAGAGAACTGTGTGGGGTCCTACGTCTCGTTCAAGGGGATGGACGGCGAGTTCCTCGTGTCCAGCTACAGTCCAACAGGGATCCTGATGCCGCGGACCTGGGAGAACCCGTCGCAGGGGATGGCGCAGGCAACTTTCAGCTTCGACAACTTCGCCATGGCCTGCCAGATCCTCTACGAGATCGCGATCCTCCGAGGGCTCACAACCTACATCTACACAGCAGGGGACTCGACCGGCATCGGCCAGCAGCCGATCCAGCAGGAGATCTCGCCCAACATCTTCTACTTCGTGCTCTGGATCCTCTTCTCCGGCTTCTTCGTCCTGCAGATGATCATCGGGGTGCTGATCGACTCAATCAACCGGCAGACGGGAACGGCGCTGCTGACGACGAAGCAGAGGAATTGGGTGAGGATCAAGCAGAGGATGGAGAAGCTCACAATGCTCAGCAAGCTGGAGATCCCCCGCGGCTTCCGCAAGGTCTGCTGGCTGCTGTGCAACGACAGTCGCTTCCAGAACTTCTACAGCTTCATCATCCTCTTCAACATCATCATCATGATGTCAGAGTCGTACAACCAGCCCGACTGGTGGTCGAACATCATGGACGTTCTCAACTGGCTCTTCCTCGCCCTCTACATCCTTGAGATTATCATTAAGGTCATCGCCTACCGCCGAGAGTTTGTGGAGGACCCCTGGAATATCTTCGACACCCTCGTGGTTGGGACCTCCATTCTAGACGCGATCCTCTCCTCCGGGGGGAGCAAGAGCGGCATCCAGGCGCTCCGAGTCCTGAGGATCATCCGAGTCTTCCGAACCCTCCGGCTCGTCCGTCGATCTCCTCGTCTCATGCTCATCCTCAACACCCTCATCTCCTCTGCCCCTTCCATCGCAGCTGTCTGCGGCTTCATCCTCATCTACGTCTTCATCTTCGCCATCATTGGCAACCAAGCCTTCGCCGGGATCAAGCACGGCAACGCGCTGAACCATCACAACAACTTCGACTCGCCCTGGAACGGCATGCTGACGCTCTTCGTCCTCATCACGGGCGATGGATGGCAGGGGGTCATGAGGGACGTGGCGATCGCTGCTCCCTACTGCACCTCCTCCGACGAAGTCAGCCGCCTTCTGTCCCTCGGGTACAACCTCGTTGACAACACGGTGACGTCCGACTGCGGGAACGAGGCAGCAGCTTACATCTTCTTCGACATCTTCATCATGATCGGGTGGAACATCTTGCGATCCATGTTTATCGCCGTGATGATGGAGAACTTCTTCATCTTCAAGAACTCCTTCTCTTCCTCCCTCACCGAGGGGCACCTCGAGTCCTTCAGGAAGACCTGGCAGGAGATGGACCCGGGAAGAAAAGGCGTCCTGCCCCTGTACATGCTGAAGCCCTTTCTCCGCGAGCTGCAGGGCAACTACAACCCCCTCGGTATCTCAGCCCTCGAGAGTGAGTTCAGGTTCCAGACCATCAGGACGGAGATCGCGCTCTCCGTCAAGCCAAACGCAAAGGGTGTCGTAGAGGTCCCCTTCAACAAGCTCCTCGTCCTTCTCGGCATGTACGCCGTCGGCCCTCCTGCCCTCGAGTACACCGACATGATCTCGCGCACGCGGGAGGTCACCTGGTTCGCCAAGCTCACTGCCGCCAGCAGGTTCCTTGCTATACACCGCGGTGTCAAGACGCGCACTCGCAGACTGGAGCAGCGGAAGGGGAGGTCAGCCGTGTCAATTTTCGCAGACAAGAGGAAGGGGAGGAAGGAGGAGGAGAAAAGAACGTCGGAATCGAAGGGGAACAAGCCAAGACCAGCCGTCGCTTCCGTCTCCGAGCTCGCCATGTCAACCCTTGCCAGCCAGGTAGACCTTCCCACCCTCCCACTTCTTCCCCGTGCATCCCGTTCCTGCACCCTCCCACCCCCTCTTCGCACGTCTCGTCATCTCCTCCTCGCTCACTGACCTCGACAGGACTTGGAGAGGAAGCTCGAGCACCTGGAAGGTTTCAGTCAGAAGCTGCAGAACAAGCTGTTCGACATGGATACGGTACAACACTCGCACCCTCCTCGCAACGCATACCCCCCACCCCTCGTCTCTGCCCCTTCCTACCCACCCGAACCTCTCCCTCTACTCCTCACGCTCATCTGATCTATACTCTTCGAATCCTTCTCATTTTCATTCTCCGCCCAAGATTCCTTCACCCCTTGCCCTCTCCCCCAAACTCTCCTCCTCCACCACCCTACCTCCTCCTCCTCTGTTTCCTCTCCCCTGCCTCCACTTCATCGAATCCTCTTGCTCCTCCCTCAGATTATTTCCTCCTCCTCCTCCTCCTCTTCCTCCTCCTCCTCCTCCTCGAGCTAACGACGATGTCACTGCAGGAAACAAACTCATCTGCAACGCCGTCGACCTCCGACAGGTGAGCGCGGGAAGCGAGCGGGGATGGGAGGCTGACTCTTTCATTGCAGTCAATAACATCCTTCAAGTCAGCTCCTGTAAATATTAAACCAGCATTAGATCTCCTTGCTTTCTCTTATCACACATCCTCCCTCACCTTCGCGAGTCATCCGAGGGGCCTGATAGGAAGAACAAGCTGCAAGTCATCCGAAGGGCCTGATAGGAAGAACAAGCTGCAGCGAGCTCTTGCCATGACATCGTCCATGTCGACATGCTCTCCCTCGATCCTCCACCACGACAACTCTAGCAGAGCCTTCGATACCCTTGACCAACCCGTCAGGTTTGCCATGGTTTGTAGTCAATACCGCCCTCAATTAATTAAGGTTTGTAGTCAAGTATTGCATTGTTTATAGTCAAAGTGTACTGCGCAACCGTCGCCATGGGGAAAGGCGCCGAAACCATCAAGAGGTGATGTGATGAGGAACAGAGAAGACAAGACAGAGGAAGGAAGAAGACGATGTAACAGTGAGATAGAGGAAGGAAGAAGACGATGTAACAGTGAGGTAGACGAAGCGAGGGGAAGAGGGGCAGAGTCGTGGGAAAAGAAGGCAGGAGGATATTGGAAGGACGAGAAGAGGAGCAGGAGACTGAGCAGGGCTGCTATTGAAGGAAGGTGATGTCTCAAAGGACTCAATGAACATGATTCGTGAGTCGGGGAAGGGGGTTCATGAACCATGTGGCGGACGCAAAGCTGAGGCGGAAGGGAGGAGGAGGATGTCTGAGCTGTCTAAGTTGCATCCTGCATCTGCATCACGATAACTTCGCTCTTGCTCGGCTCACTCACCCTGATGTAGATGGAACCCGTACGCTCAAGGAGCGAGGAAGTTGGAGGTAGTGCAGCCGACGCCTCAAACCGTCCCCTTCTGGTTTGTCAATGACAGGGTGAAGGAAGAATCGAACCATCGCTGGGATGCCAACTCGCACCGGCTCCAGCATGGCTTCCAACAAGCGGTACTGCCCTCGTTGCCGCAGGATGGTGCTTATCTGTCTGTGCAAGGCGGAGAGGAGGAAAGCGATAGACCGAGGGATCATGATTCGCCCCAGCCTCATCAAACTTTCGTCGTCGCTGTCTAGAGGATCCTCGTGGAAAGATCCCCTGCAATGGCAGCCTCCCATTGTGAGGCGACTTGTACCGCTGTAGATAGCAGTCTCATCCCCATGCTCAGATCCCCGAAGCTGTTAGAAACCCCGAGGTGAAGAACATCTACAAGCTGCAGAACATTCAAGGGATTAGGTGCTGTTGAAGAATCTTCTATGTGAATTTTTCTTATCAGCCCGGCAGGTGGAAAGAAAGCCGCTTTTACAACATCAACTATCATGGGAAGGGCATCCAGAGGGGGCTGTTGCGCCAGGTTCCGTTCTGATGTCTCATGCGTGTGATGCTCACAGAATGTTCAGGATCACCATGGAAATGCGTGTGATTGGTTCAAGGGAGAAGAATAGAGATGTAGATGCATCAATTATTTTGCTTCTCATCCACATCTGATAGAGTTTGGTTGCTATCATTCACTATGATTCATATAGGAAAGCGAGGAACAAGCAGGGTAATGTTCTCCTACCAAACTCTATCATTCTGAACAGATTTGGGGCGCTTTCCTGCAAAGGAGAACATTTCCCTGCTTGTTCCTCGCTTTCCTACATGAATCATAGTGTGATAACATCACTGCACTCTATCTGCTCGAAGGGCAAGCTTTGCTAGTCCTTCATGCCCCCCTGAGATACACTTGTCTTCGATATTTGAATGTATGAGCATTCTTCCTCCTCCAAGAATTCCATTCGCAAGTGTAAGGTAGAACTTGTCGAAAGGTTGCAAACAATGCCTATAATTGCACGTCTCGGAGTCCTGAGCTTCGTAGCATCCCATCCACGACATCGCATTTCAAGTTCACGTGCATGTCATGACATGGGGTACAACACTTGCTCACAATAGCCAATAGGTTATACGCCAAGATGGGGTTCGAAGTTGTTCGATCGGAGGAAATCGTGCTTTATTCACATGTTTGCGATCGAATCATAGATTGCCCATGCATTCTTTCGCTGCTGTACTGGATTACGCGAAGGACGTAAGTCCTAAGAATTTACAAGAGATGCACAATCATGAGCATACTTAAGCACTAAGACGAACATTCATCTTCCTAAGCGACCTTCCACATTCGTCCCGTGGCTCCCGCATGCACTTCTTCAGTCTGAAGGGCCGATCGCGCGCAGATGTGGTAGGTACTTCAATTGTTTCCTCCTTCTTCGTAGTTTGCTTGATAGAATTCACCATTGTGGGCCCCATGTTTGCTTGAGGTCGGATTGAGTGGAAATTCAAGGAGTGACTTTCTTGTCAAGTTCCAGGGAAAGAGAAATGCCAGACAGAACGTTGTAAAGGCTACGAGTCCAAACTTTGCCTGGGAGTGAGCAGAGCGAGACAGAGCAAAAACGAGGGGAAGAGGAGTCTCAGCAGACTAGGAGGAGAACAAAGGAGGATCGTGAGGTAGAGCGCTGGTAGGAGGAGGAGGAGTGGAAGAAGCTGGAGGAGAGGGGGAGAAACAAAAACTTTGTGGAGGTTTGCCAAGCAGGAGAATAAATAGCAATCGAAAAAGACCAGGGGTAGTCACTGGTAGTAACGGACAGTAGTGAGCCTGGGGTAGGGGTCCATATCTAGCCACTCGCATAAACGCAGGGGGCTGAAGCATGACCAGGTCACGGAGTAGCTGGTGGCTGATCGGAGGGGTACTTTATTAAGAATTCTGCTATTGAAACGGGGGTAGCCTGCACGGAAGTTCCCGGGAGACCCATTTTAGACCTGCCAGGGGGTCACTGGGCCATAGAGAGTCGAATTTTCCTCATTTCGGGGGTAGGGTACTTACTATAGAGTGCTTCCGTTTCAGGGGTGGGTCATCGTTTGGGGGTCATAGTTCTATCAGGAGTTAAAACTTTTCAAGTTGATTCAGTTCAGTTCTACCTCGCAAGTAGGGGTACTCAAGGAGGGGGAAGGGAGGGTGGTGCTACCGGAGGACCCGGTGGTCGACCATGACTCTTATTGTCATGAACAAGTGTTTTTATCTGTCAGATACGCTACTCCGAAAGTTAAACCACAATGGGGGGTGGGGTGGGGGCAGATCATCGGATAACGGGCGTCTGGCCCCTCTAGAAGAGAAAAGACGACCCCCACTAGACTGACCCCCACCCCCTCCACGCTTTGTCTGGTTATTACAGGGGTTCGATATCACATCGGGTCGGAGCCTCGGAGGCTACGGAGCTCCGAGTTTATGATTCCACCCCCCCCCCCCCGGGCCTTCAGCTTCTGACCACCCGTTTCAAGTTCCCGTCAATCGGACCCCATTACGGTTCTCGATTGGAACGACCGGTAGGGTGGCCATACTGAGACCACCCACCTGCCCCCAGATCATCGGATCAGAACGCAACGGTTGGTAGACTATCCGTTAGGCTAAGGAATTGACCGACTCCCGGCCTAGTGGGCGAGTGATAGTACGGTCCAGTCACTGTAGTGAAGGGCCCGGGTCACAGCACGGTGGCCGGGCCGATGCACGGGGGCCCGCCGGCCGTGGCCGCGGGCGGCGACCGTACTGAGCCGGTCGGGCTTTAAGAGACTGTGTGACTTTCGGTCTGCCACAGCCTTTACTGAAAGTTAGATCGGCAGCCCACTGACTGATGATATTACTCAGTGTAGTGCTGAGTAGGATCGGACACGGATCGCCCCCCGATGGCCCACCGACGGTCACAGAGTCACGGTGCGCCCAGGAGGCGGGGGCGGCCCGGGGCCGGCGCGGAGGAAGCGGCACTCACGGCCGAACCGTTGAACCGTTCGTGACAGTGTGTCCCAGTCACAGGCTGGCCGCTGAGCACGGTGAAACGGTGCCGTACTGAAGCATGGCATGCTGCTATCGCCGGTGACAGTACTAGTACGTGCTAGTGGTAACGGGTTCAGTGAACGTTGAAGGCTCATCTCAGACGGTTTACTTGACGGCCTCACTTCTCGGAGCCTTGAAGAAACATGGCGGACAAGCTCCTTCACTTGTTGACTGCAACGCCCTTGACCTGCTCGGTAGGAACACGAGGATGCCAGACTGGCTGCCCGACCGCGCTCTGCGGGTCCTGGAAGGGATTCTTGGCTGGGTCCTTGTGCACACGGAAAATCTTGTCGATCTCTTTCTCCAGCTCCTCGTTCCAGTCCATGGAGAAGGCGCCAATGTTTTCTCGCAGCTGTCCAATCGGCAGTCAGGATCAGAGCCTGAGGGCTGAAGGTAGAGGAAGGAAGGAGGAGGGTAGAGAAGTGGAGGTGGAGGGAGGACAGGATACCTGCTTCAGGGTAGTAGCGCCGATGATGGTGCTGGCGACGAAGGGGCGAGAGTTGGTGAAGGCAAGAGCAAGCTCTGACGGCGTCATGCCGAACTTCTTCGCAAGAGCAGCGTACTCGTCCGCAGCCTTCTTAGCAGAGGACTGCATGAAGCGAGCCATGTACCTGAGGACGAAGTGAGGGAGCTGTAGGAGGAGAGGAGGGGAGAGAAGGATTCCGAGGGAGCTAGGGAGATAGCGGAAGTGAGAGGGGAAGAGGAAGGCAGGAGGAAGGGAGATGAGGAGAGAATGGGGAGCGGGGTAGAGGCGGGAAGAAAGCGAGGGAACAGGGGGTAGTGCACAGTGCAGGGGAGGTTGTTACCCTTCGAACAGATTCAGCCTCCACTTCTTGGACTCCTCAGGGTCAGCGCTGTCCGTGTACTTGCCGCTCCTGTCATGCCATGAGCATCGCACGCAAGCACGGCGGCCATGGGAGTCATCACAGGATTCCTCCTGCGAGAGGGCTGTAGGCGAGAAGTCCCACGTTGCAGTTGTTGGGGGCACAGACCTCCATGCTCAAGTCAGGCAGATGAGACAGGGAGAGGAGGAGGTGAGGTAGCACGACGACATATGGGATAGATGGTGGTGGTGGTGGTGGTGGTGGTGGTGGTGGTGATGATGATGATGATGATAATGAGGACGAGGACGAGGTGGTGGAGGAAGACAAGGAGGCGACGAAGTAGGGAAATGAAATCACCTCGTCAAGGTCCGTCTCGAAGTCGACACGGTTCAGGAGCGAGTAAGAGTTCTGGATGGAGACGACTTGGGGAAGATTCAGCTGGACTGCCACGTCATTCCTTCTTCCTCCTACCCTCTCGTCGTCCACCTGCTTCGACAAGAAGTGAAAGTTCATGACGCCGAACGGCGACTCGTTGGAGACTCCCATGTATCTGACCTGTGAACTGACCTTCAGCATGACAGCATGGAGGAGTGAAGATGAAGAGAGTGAGGAGGAGGGGACGCGTAGGGATGGAGGGGGAGGTGGGGTGACAAGATGAGGAGAGAAGGAGGAGAGGAAAAGCTAGACTTCTTTGAGGGCGGTCAAAGGGGTGTGTGTGGGGAAGAGGATGCAGAGGACGTTTCAGTGAGGACCAAGGAGGAGGATCGCAACCTTGCCCTGTCGAATCAGCTCGTCGAACTGAACAGGCAACGGTCACTTAATGGGCAGGAAGGATTGAGTCTTACAGCCCGCAGTTGCTCTTCGAAGGAGACGGACTCGTAGACTTTGGAGATGTCATACGTTCCTGGGCGGTAGTCCAAGGTCAACACCAAATTCGTCAAAATTACCAGCTAGTTCACCTGGTGCCCCAAAGAGGTTGCCCATGTGGCGATCCGGCCAGTGAATCTGGATCGTGGAAAGATTAACGGAGAGAACAAGGGGAAGGGAAGAGAGGGAAGGAGAGGATGGGAGTGAGGGAGTGAGGGAGTGAGGGGGCAGAGATCACTATCTTTCCCTCACTCACTGCCGATGCAGACACGACCCACCTGAAGGAGATCAATGTAGTCTGTGTTGAGTCGCTTCAGACTCTCATCCACGCTGCATCTCAGGTCACATCTCATGCCCTTCAAGCTTGCCGCCATGTCGCCATCACCTGGTCAGGATCTCCTTGCGGGTCACACGGCTCCCCTTCCCATCGCGTCCTTGTGGGGAGGCGTCAAGAAAACGCACCCACGTTGCTCCTTCACAAACCAGGCAGCCAAGTGATCCTGTCAGAATATCCCGCTACTTTTGTTGCCAACACCTTCCTGCATGTCACTGCCTGTCTCACTTCCTCGTAGCTCCTCCACCCACCACATCCTCCCTCCTCTTCGTCTTCAGCCACTTAGCGATGGTCCTGTCAGTGTCGCCTTGAGTCTCTGCCTTGACAGGGATCGGATACATCTCCGCCTGGCAAGTCAGGGTAAACATCTTGTCACTCTCACCGCTTCCTTGAGCTTACAGTGTCGATGAAGTTCACGCCAAACTCATCGAACGCCACGTTTAGTTGCTCCACTCCCTCCTCCATCGTATTTTGTTGCCCCCACGTCATGGTTCCCAGGCAACAGCGCGAGACCTTGAGGTCGGAGTTCCCCAGCTTCACATACTCCATCGCCTTCATGCTGGTTGCCATCCTCCTGTTCGTCGGTCTCGACACCTGCCAGTGTTGAACACCTGGAGCATGGGAGGAGAACAGCTTCTACCGTGCTGAACAGACTTCTAGTTCTCCCCATCATCGCGACCCCGTTCGTGACTGAGAAGGCAGACACACCTTGACCAATTCAGTCAGTGATATGAAATCAGGAGGAGGCATGTTCTGATCTTGTGTCTATCATAATGCGCTCTTCAAGGGCTTACAGCATATTGCTGTTTCTATCGACACGTGTGGACTAGAGCTTTTTCGCTCTCGCTACGTCCATCTCTCATCTTAACATCACTCATTATACTCATCCCGACCATCCCTTGCTTGTTTCATCTCCTCTCCTCTCCTCTCCTCTCCTCTCCTCTCCTCTCCCCCCCCCTCCCCTCCTCTCCCCTTACCTTCTGCCATCATCACCACAATCGCAGCCCGCAGCATGTTTATGTGTCCAGGGTTTGCCACTACCCCCATGATCCCCTGAAGCATGACCCCTCCCCTGAACTTGGAACGAGATGAGGGGGGGACGAGGGCAACTGGGTCAGTGAGGGGACGAGGAGACAATAGAGCCGTTCTAGAGCTTCTGAAAATGGCTGCTGAGCCGAGGCAGGGAGTGAGAGGGAGTGTGGGAGGAGCGAGGTGAGAGGAGGAGGAGGGAGAGGAGGAGGTAGAGGAGGAGTGTGGTGAGAGGAGGAGGAGGGAGAGGAGGAGGAGGGAGAGGAGGAGGAGGGAGAGGGACGAGACAGCTGGGTGACATCCTGCAAAGACCTGCCATCTTTGGTCCTTGACGCAGCAAGGGCGAGGGGAGGGAAAGAGTGACGAGGGGAGGGAGCGAGGGAGAGTTTCTTGTGGCGGCTTCGAGTAACCATGGTCAAGTATCTATTCACACTTGTCTGCTGGGTGTTGTTTGCGACGATGTCTCCAAGGTGCCATGGCCTTGAGAGGACGAGGCTTTCCCTGATGAGATCCTTGATGAGTGGTACCGGCACGATCTACCTCAGGGGAGGGGTCAGCAAATACTACAACCACACGGCTCCTTCGCTGAGAGGGGGCATTTTCGAGGAGCCAAAAGGCGGAATATCCACCGATGAAGGGCAATCTGTATGGAACAAGGGAGGATGGTCGTTTGAAGAGCGCGATTACACGTCGTGGTGCCGCAAGCGGATGGAGAGCCTGCTTCGAGACATGCCGTGCAATGGCGTCTACTTCAGCAACATCTCGAGGGTGTCAGGACATGCGCTCGTCACTTACCGTCAAGGCAAGAAACGCGCAGGAGTGAACTGGGACGACGTGGTGCTGGATTGGCAGTTGAGGGATTACCCCGATGCCAATGGTTCCCTCACCATAAGGGACTTCTTCTCTGACTTCCCTGAGGACATGGAGATGTTGGTGTCGGTATGCTCCCCCCTCCTCTCTCCTCCTCTTTTAGAGCTCGGCCCTTCTCTACTCTAGGTTCATCGCTGACTTGTGCTCGTGGCAGGTCAGGTCTTGCGGGGACGGCAGATGCGGCAGCGACGCGCACCTGAGGGACCGGGTGTTGTCCTGCGTGACAGACTTCCAGGGGCTGTTGGACAAGCTGGTCGAAGAGATGATGGGGATCAAGTCGCAGAGGTCGGATGCTTCTCGTCCTCACGACCCGTCCAAGGGCGAAGGTCAAGAGATCAAGGCAGGATGAAGCCCTTGGTCGGCAGCGCCTTAGGGCAAACATGACAATGCAAAGGTTATCAAGCATTATATAACAAAGGTTTTGCTTCTCTCGTCACAGTATAAACAGTTCAAACGATGCACGCGAGCTCCTAGCAAGAATAATGTACACTCCCGCATGCGGTGGCGTCGGACGAGTCAAGGGATGCCTATGATACACTGCAGATGTTTTCATCTTTCAATCTCCTCTGCCGTTCATAGCGCGCGATCTGCTTTGCAAGCTCCTCGTCTGTGTACGCTGCCTGCTCGTCCCGTCAGTCAAGGAAGGTCGGAAGACCAGCCTGCCTACCGTCCTGTGCTGCAGCTGGTAGAAGAGGATGTATGTATCTTTCTCCAGCGATAGCTTCCGCTCTTGGCACAAGTCCTGTAGCTTCTTCCATGCAGGCAAGGGGCGCACAGGCTTCTTCAGGTCATCATGGAGTACCCAGCCCCCTGCTCCATCGAAGATCTCCGAGTTCCTGCCAGATCAACCCCATCATAATCATCATCATCATCATTATCAATATCATCATCAATATCATTATCATCATCAATATCATTATCATTATCATTATCATCATCAATATCATCATCATCATCATCAATATCAATATCATTATCAATATCGTCGTCGTCATCATCATCATCACCACCACATTCAGAGCAAAGAGGGTGAGGAGGGAGCTGGTTCGGTCACCTCCCGATGGAGACGTAGTGGCCCTCATTGGCCCGGTCACCGACATGCAGGACGAGGGATCGAAGGACAAGCATGTACTCTGCATCCAGGGAGAGTCAAAGTGTGGTCGAGACGTCATCGCCCGTGGGTTGGTACCTGGTAGAGGAAGCGACGAGTCTTTGTCTATATATCTGCTCACGTCGAGGGTTTCGGGGAAGGCAACAGGACAAGAATTCTTGGAAGCGGAGCTGTTGTAGCCATACCGGAGCAGCACGATCGGGATGATGAAGTTGGGGAAGAGAGACGCCTCTCCGTTGTATGTACATCCATCGATCTCGCAGTCGTTGGTGTAGAACGGGGAGAGTTTCAAGACCTTGAGCACAGACTTCGACTGGCTGCTGGCACCCGCAACTTCGATCTGGTCATCGTAGAAGTGCCTACGCAGGAGGTCTTCCAACCTGACTGCATTCCTTGACGTCGCGAACAAGTTCTTGGGCTGTTGGACCAGGTTCAGCAGCACTGCTCGATCAGTGACGTACTTCATGTCGGTGGAGGACTTCGCCGCCGGAGCCGAACCCCCCATGTTCTTCAAGATGCGCTGTGAGAAGGGGATCCTGGGCGCCTTCAGGAGGTCAAGGAAAAACTGCAGGAACTCGAGGGCGTCTTGTTGGCGGTACTTGGACATGATCGACTTATCGATCTCCGTGTCCATCCCAGGATCTCGGGAGAGGAGTTGAGAAATGGCGGAATCGACTTTGCCATCGTTGGCGATCAAGGAAAGGACAGCATGCTGATGGGAGAAACCCATCTCAACCAGCCTCCTGACGTCCTCGTTCCCTCCGCTGCCCACAGCGAACCCTTCCCAACCGCAGAGGTTGAGGGCGAGCCTCAGCTTCGACATGTCTGGCGCCTTGACTGCCTCCCTCCTCCTCAGCTGGGTCACCACGACGTCCCTCAAGATTCTCTGCACTGCGGAAGTCTTGTCGTCCTTGAGGTCTTGCACCAGAATACCGTCGTAGCTCTCATTCATGCCGTCGTGAAACATGGCGAAGATCACGCTGTCGATGTAGCAGCTGTTCCCGCAGTTCTCCATTCCTCCGCAGCCACGGCAACTTGTTTCTTCGCCCTAACTCACGGCAGCGAGACGATGAGCGGGCAGAGGGGAGAGCAGGGATGGTGAGAGAGTCTCATGGGGAGGAGGAGAGTAGTGATAGTTCTCGAGCTACCGGACGCCATGGCCGGCTCGCTCGCCGCTCTCCTCGCTCTGCATTTTCGGCCAGGTGGTGAATCTTTTTCAGTGAACGTCTTGGAAACATAACGGTTGTAACGTCAAAATGACGGTTATTGTAACGGGTGTATACGAGGGGGATGAGGGCTGTTTTCTGTGAGTTCACCCGTTCAAGTTCAGGCCCGCTAGTCAAATGGCGGTTGACTTGAAGTGTATGTTGAATGTATGTTGAAGGATCGGGACGATGGAGGAGAGGACTCTCAAGAGAGAGGGAGGAGAGGAGAGGAGAGGGAGCAGAGGGAGCAGAGGGAGGAGAGGGAGCAGAGGGAGGAGAGCGAGGAGAGGGAGGAGAGGGAGGAGAGCGAGGAATGGAAGAGAGAGGGAGCAAAGGGAGTAGAAGGACTCCGGGAGGAGAAGGAGCCGGGAGATTGAATAGCCTCCGAGCCTGAAAGGAATGGCCGGACAAGGAGAGCTAGAAGAGAGACTGGGTGTCTCGACTCAGTCTGCAGGGTGGGAGACGTGAAGGGCAGGACTAAGTCACGTTGGAAGACTAACACAATGAAGGCAGAGAAGGACTCGCCGAGCTAGAGAGGGCGTGGAAAGGAGCCCATAGAATCTCTTGCGCGAAAATGAGCAGCCCACGGCGAAATGCAGGAGAAGCATTTTCCAAGAGCAACAAGCCGACCTCAAGGGTTCATCACGGTGCTACCAAGTTCCCCAAGCTCGTGGAAGCAGCGGTTGAGGGAGGAGGTAAGGCAGGGAGCAGGGGAGGGCTGTCACTGATTTGTCGCAGGCCTTCACTACGAGAATGACTTCGAGGACGATCTTTCAGAACACAGCAAGTCAACTGACAGCCTTAGAAGCCCCATGAGAGGAGCTCACAGGAGGACCCCGCACAGAGGGTGGGAGGAGGACGGCGAGTTCGATGCCATCGAGAAATGTGGGAGTGAGATGCGGTCCATCTTCCAGAGCTGGCGGAGGAAGAACCCCTCAGGCGACTTCATGCAGGACTTGTCGGTTGTTGAGCAGAAGCTGAAGATGTTGGAGCTGTTCGTAAGCTCGGAGCGGCAGGCCTGGACGGGAAAGTATGCGACTAAGTGCCAACAGCATGCGGCGCTGCTGCTGCAGTTGAGCGCGTGCAAGCAGTCCAACAACAAGACGATGACGCAGGCGTTTGAGGACGTGACGGTGATGACGGAGCGGATCAAGAAGACAGAGGAGAGCTACCTTAAGTGCAAGATAGACAAGGAACACCTCGAGTTCGAGTTCCAGAAGGAGATCGCCGCCATGTCGCGGAAGCTGTCGGAGATGGAGCACTCGGTCTACTCGGCAAGGGTAGAGAGCGAGAAGGCGAGCAGAGAAGTCAAGGCGCAGCATCAGCTCGTGAGGCAGCTGGAGGCATCGAGTGCAGCTAAAGATGCTGAGAAGGAGCAGCTGAGCCTGAAGGCGACCAGGTTGGAACAAGAAATCGTCGCTCGCAAGACAAGGGAGGTTCAGCTGCTGCAAGACGTTGAGAGTCTGAAGCAGGTGTTGGAGCAGGAGACGTTGCAAGCCAAGATGCAGATGAATGAGAGTTTGACTGCAAAGCAAGAATACGAGAGTAGGATGTCTCAGTTGCAGTCAGAACTTCAAGAATCCAAGCAAGAGATCGCTTATCTCTCTTCGCTCAGGGCAACCAACGAAGCTCTTGTATCAAAGAACGCAAGCCTGGAAGTTGAGCTAAAGGAAGAGATCGACGAGCGAAACAAGGAAGTGAAACAGCTTAAGCTCGCAGCAGACTTCGAGACATCATCTCTAAAGAGCTCCAAGCAGCAAGAGGTGCAGATGCTGCAGGAGGAGATTGACAGCCTCAAGTCGCAGCTCTCAAGGATGGAAGAGCAGGCCAAGAGCGAGGCGCTTTTGTTGAAGTCTGAGTTGGAGGAGTGCAAGAACATGGTGGGGCAGACGAGGAGAGCTGACCTGCTCAAGGTCGAGCTATCGACTGCAGAGAAGAACGAGTCCGAGAGCAACCTCGTGGAGCTGAGGAGCAGAGTGCAGGAGCTGACGTTGGAGCTGTCCAAGAGCAGGAGGGAAGCGGATCTATCGCTGGATGAAGCCAACGGGAAGGTAGCAGCTCTCACGCAGGAGATCGCGTACTTGTCCTACCTCAAGACGCACATCCACAGCTACGACCAGACCTACAGCAAGGTCATCCAGAGCCTCTCGAACAAGCTCGACAGAGTCGACGAGTGCCTGATGGCAGTTGATGCGATGCGCGCTAGAGCAGCCGAGCAAACGCAGCTGGAGCAGTCCTCACCTCCTCCTGCTCCTGCTCCTCCTCCTAGTGTCCCAGTCTCCCCCCGCCGAGACGCAGCGGAGGCAGAGAGCGCGAGATTGATCCACAACTTGAAGAGATGGCTGAACCGGGAGCGAGGGCTGAGGAAGGCGATGGAGGAGAAGGTGAAGGATATCAGAGCTGAGCGAGACTTCTCGAAGAGGCTGCTCAAAGACTTCCTCCTGCAGAGCACAAGGGCCAAGGCAGAGGCGCTGGCCAGCCTCTCCTTTCTCAAGCTGGGAGACGATGCAGGTGGGGTCGAGCTGGATCCAAGGAGGAAGAGGGAGATGCTGAGCAAGCAGGTGGAGAAGCTCAAGGAGATGAAGATGATAGCGGAAGGGATGAGCGGCGGCGATGAGTCGTTGATGAGATCGAAAGAGTTTACAAGTGGGCATGTCCTGTTCTCCAAGTTCCACAAGGACGTGATGGAGGTCAAGTCAGAGACGCCCAACTCCATGTCGGACTTCCTGCTCTTCGGCCATGACGGCAGGCAGGAGGCAACCAAGAAGCATGCACGGGCTGTCAACAAGGGAGGGAGCACCGAGTATCTTGATGATGGTGGTGACGGAGGTGGGGGACGGATTTCAGATGAAGACGAGGGGTCGCTGCGAAGCTATCTCTCGGGGTTCTTGAACGGCCTCATGGAGGAGGTGGTAGCGCAGAGCATCATTGGCAGCGAGACGGATTCTGAAGTCTCTTTCAGTCCAGAGGAGGCGGACGAGAGAGGCGGGCCGCGTGTAGATAATCTACAAGAGCTTCAATCTTGAAATGCAGTACTTGATGTTCAACTTTTCAAACTCGCTTGCGTGTGGAGCGAGTTGTATCAGCTGGGCAATGAGCTGGCCCGACACGTTGGCTCGACCCTGCCCCGAGCGTCTGCACCCTAGAGGCCTGCCCAAGGCCTTGACTGACTCGGCGTGCATGCAGACTCTCTGCACGTGGTAGAGGGAGAAGTCAGAGACGGGAACAACATTTTTGTTTCCCTCCTCTTGACTCACTTGTAACAGCACGAGGACTCTAGTCAAATGCTGCCTGTCCTTATGCAGAAACGCGGTCAGCGTGCTAGTCAACGTAGCAAAAACTTCAGTTGATGCGATTTCCTGCCATGCCCACGTCATTGCAGATGACAAGTGGGTTTGCTTACCCTCAGCACATCCTCCGCCTCCCCCGGGTCACGATCATCAAGAGCAATCAGAACAATCAGGGAGCTTGTTGTCCGGATCTCCTTCTTCGAGCTGCAGAGACTCGGCAATATGATGATCTCTCCCCGCAACCTTCGTATCATCTCGCTCCCTAACGGGGTCTGAACATCGCTGCAGTGAACAACGTTGGCATGCGCAAGCACATGGAAGGAAGGAAACAAACTTGAGCAGGCATCGTAGAGCACCGAGCCTCTCCTCTTTGTTGGGAGTCTGCGAACATGTAAGGCATGCTTCATAACCTCCTCACTTGTCACCTGGAGCAATACCATCATGTCACGTTGAACTCTGACCTCAACGTCTGTCTTCCATTCATTCCAAACGGGAGATCGCAGCAGGCACTAGAGTTGGTTTCGAGTTAATTGCCATCATTGCCATGAGACATCAAGTCAGACAAGGCAAAAGAACAACATTTCCTCTCACACTCCACTCATGCTCCGTCTGGCAGGAAAACTTCTCATTTCGCGAGCGCCTGCCCACGACAAGTGAGAGCTCGGATCGCGCTGCCTCAGTGCAGACCTGATTGCTGTCATCAACTTGAACATGGTCTTAACCAGTCTGTTGCGTGAGCTTCTTTCAATCATGAGGCTTTCTGAGTGCAGCATTTCTGCGAGGAAGCGAACGATCGGCTTCCAGGACAGGGTGAGTCCTTTGACAAAAATCTCTCGTGGAATGAATCACCGTTTGATGGGCAGACAAGCAGAATTCACATAATTTTGATAGCATTTCTACAGTGTGTCCTGATTCAAAGTCAGAATAGAGAGAGGGTGTGGAAAGCATCTACCTTGCCACTCTTCTTGTGTTTGACCTTGGTTGACCAGCACTGCTTGAAATTGCGTTTTGCAATGACATTTCGAGTGTTTCTGTGCTCTTTTCATAGATCTACAAAGTGATTCCAAGTTGTCTTGAGGATATTTGGTCAATACTCGATAAGTTTTCTTCTTCTTCACTGACTCTTGAGATGATTGCTTGCCACGGTCAGCTGGAGACTGTGTGCATCTTTCTGCATCTGAATCATCCCACGAGTCGAAGTCGTCAGGAGAAGCACTTGTTGCTCTCTGCAGCTGACTTATGAGCTCCTCAGCTTCCTCATCCTTGAAGCTTGCTCTCTTCCTCCTGCATGGTGATAGCTGGCTGCGCGAGTGAAGCCAAGGATGTCCGAGCGATGCGAGCGAGCCTTGGAGGAGGGAAGCAGGATAGCGAGAAAGCATCGAGCTCGGAGACGAGGAGGAGGAGGAGGAGGAGGAGGAGGAGGAGGAGGAGGAGGAGGAGGAGGAGGAGGAGGAGGGTGGAAGGTAGGGAGACGAAGAAGAGGAGGGAGAGGGCGAAGACACCGGCAGCATTTTTGGCTGGGGTATGGTGATGGCAACCATTTTACGTATTCGAATTGGCGTGTCATATTTTGAAGTTTTTCAAAAGTTTCACATCAGGTGGCAAAAGTTTCTTCGGGAAAAATGATGAGTAAATAAAATACTCAACTGGCGGCGGGCCGCAGAATGATCCCGGCCGGGCTGGCACCCGGCAAGTTTTTTCAGTTGTCAAAACGGCTACCGTTCGTACCGGAGGCCGTACCCGGCGCACCGTACGGTAGTACCGTACCGTACTGACTGATCTCCTCATTGTCCTCGTACTGATTTTTAACTTAACTTTGAGTGAAGAAGCCTTGAAGTTCGAGCAAGCCAAGTTAGACCGTCACGGCGCCGCCGCGTACTGCCCGGCCCGCCGGCCGGCCAGTCTGGCAAAGCGGCTCAAGATCGGACCGGCCCGCCTCCGAGCCCAGGCTCTCGGACGCGGCGGCCCGAGTTCGGCGTCCGGGCGGGGTACCGTACGCCGCGCACACACGGTGCCACTGCTGACACTCTACTATGATTCAACTTTCACCGTACTTGCGCAGCCTTGATTCCGTGCTGTTGAGAACGCCCCTCAACTAACTGCGGCTATCCGATATCATCGTCTGTCTGGCAGATCACAGCCTACGAATTGAGTCCGAGCGCGCCCGGCCCTGTGTGAATTGATTCAATGTGAGTTTTATTCATATCCAAACATCGTCCGCGGTGAAACAGAGTTATTATCAGAAACGCAGGTCAGTCACTGCTCTGCAACTTTATGGCTCTGATTCGGTACGCCACAAAACTGGCGAATGTCAGGAAAACTCCTGCAAACAGGTACACATCGCTCGAATGCGCTTTGAATCCTCGCAGGTTCTGTGCCAAGGACAACCTGTACCTGATTCGAGATCAGATCGACAGAAGAAGGGAGGAGAGGTAATCATAAACCAGGAGCATTCTTGCACTTACCACGGGTGTCGATGAGAATTGTCGCAGTACGGCATTGTGTTGCTCTTGCCACACCTGCATTTCACTACCTGCGCCCTCAGTCACGCAACGGTTCATCGGAGCGAGGCCGTCCGCGTCCGCGTCACCTCACCTTGGATTCGCTAGATCGCTCCTCGCCATCGGGTGAGACCCACTTTTACATTGAGAAAGTCAATCGATTTTGAACATACTTCAGTCTATCTATGACTCTAAGCATACCTCACTCTACCTATGACTCTAAGCATACCTCACTCTACCTATGACTCTGAGCATACCTCACTCTACCTATGACTCTGAGCATATCTATGACTCTAAGCATACCTCACTCTACCTATGACTCTGAGCATACCTCACTCTACCAATGACTCTGAGCATACCTCACTCTACCTATGACTCTGAGCATATCTATGACTCTGAGCATACCTCACTCTACCTATGACTCTGAGCATATCTATGACTCTGAGCATACCTCACTCTACCTATGACTCTGAGCATATCTATGACTCTGAGCATACCTCACTCTACCAATGACTCTGAGCATATCTATGACTCTGAGCATACCTCACTCTACCTATGACTCTGAGCATACCTCACTCTACCAATGACTCTGAGCATACCTCACTCTACCTATGACTCTGAACATACCTTACTGCTTGAGAAGTTGCGCTTGAAGATCGAAGGATTCATTTTCTATCACGAGACTCCTACCCACCGGCGATTTGAGTTAGAATCAACACATGGACTCGAAATGCCCCGTCCTTATCGGAAGGAATAGACCGATGACTCATCAGAGATAGCACATTGGGTTTCCGTCTTACAGAAGTGATCATCCTGAAACCCCTTCACGCAACTAACGTATTTCCTGTTTCCTTTACCTTTCCTTCTTCTCCTTCTCTCCCCCCCCCCCTCCCTGCCGTATTCTCCTACCTCTCCCGCTCCCTCTTCTCCTCTTGCATACTCGCTAGCGTCCATACTCTCTAGCCTCTCAACGCCAGAAGGCGACTCTCAAGCAGACCTTCTCTCATCTCAGCCCGCATGCCCTGTACGTCTCAAGGATGTCAGCATTGGGGCGCAGAAAGCGATGTGGCCCGGCGGCCCGGCCCGAGGATCGTCGGCCGGGCCTGGAGGACTCGTTGAACTCTGAGAGTTGAACAGTCAACATCTTTAGTTAACTTGAAATCAGAACCGGAGGACAATCCGACTGAACTCGGCCCCGGGCCCCGCCGGGCCCCGGGCCCTTTATTCCACCCGATCACGAGCGTTTACTTGAACGTTCTTTACTCAAAGTTAAGTTAAAAAGCAGTACGAGGGCAATCCTTTAAAACCCTGAATCAAGATGAAACCCTTTGAATCCTCTAAGCTTTGATGAAAGTTAAGTAAAATTAGCGGTACTACATTTTGAGCCTGAAGCCGAGTCGTAAAAGGGTCGGTCCGGCGCTCAACCGTCTCAGCCGAACTCCGACGCGTACAGCGGTCAGCAGTGAGAGCTTTACTACAGCAGAAACACGCACCGGTTCACGTCATGCGCTGGCCTTTTGGGCCCGAGTAGACATTCTGGTTGACGTTTCGGACCTGAGAGGCCTCTGTAGTAAACTCGCTGACTCCTTCGCGGAATGATTTTAGAGTAAAAGTAAAACGTACTCGTTCCTCTGCACCCCATCCCTTGCTGCACCGGATCCTCCACGCAGCCGCTGGCGGGACCGCATGACGAGCACGAGACGCAGAGCCTGCTTCAGTGAACAGTTTGCTCCTGTCGATGTTGGCCGTAGAGAGACCTGAGTGAGAAGTCTGCAAAGCTCAGTCAAGCAAAAAGAATTCCTTGCCAAAAGGTCAAGATCATCTCCACCAAGCAATCATTCAACATGAAACAACCAGACATTCCATCTTCCAGCCCGTTACCGAACTTAGCTCCTGTCGATGAACTCCTTCCGTTCGTCCCCCTCCTTCCCTCTGATGTACAGTCCTTCGTCTCCAGCTCTGGCACATCCTACCTCCCTAGCGACTCCGACGACCCCAAGCCCTCCTCCCAGCGCCGTGCCCGTCTTGCTTGTCGAGTCTGCAAGCAACGCAAGATGAAGTGCGACGACCTCAACCCATGCTCGCGCTGCTTGGAGTCGAGCGCGGACTGCGTGCGTGATGGGGCTTTACCACCAGAGCAGCCGGCGGAGAAGAAGAGGGGGAGGAGCCAGACGAAGCAGGCGTGCACGTACTGCAGGGAGCGGAAGATGAAGTGCGAGGCACAGCGACCATGCTGGCGGTGCGTGAGGGTAGGGAATGACTGCACAGATGATACGCCAGGTCCCTTGAGGAGAATCGAGACAGAGGACTGATGACAGAGGGACATTGAAGAAGACATGAATGAGGTTGGTGGGAGGCAGGACGGAAGGAAAGGAGGAGCGCTCTTCGAGGCAAGAAGCATTTGGTGGATAATGTCTGGATGGAAAACTTCCCAATTCAAAATTTTGTAGCTGGTTGCATGTCCAGTGAGAGTTGCCATAAGTTCTGTTCACAGAGAATACAGGTGTTGACATCGATGTTGATTCCATTCCAATCCATTGATTCAATAGACCAAGTAAGGGAGGTTGACAAAGGCAGGCACTAGAGGCAAACAGAAATGCACCGAATATGCAGCATCCGTCAGGATCCTGAAGCTCCAAATACTCGGCTGCTAACAGAGTCGAAGCAGCATCAACCTCCAACGATCGCAAGCTCAAGTAAGAGGGACATACATCAGAGCGAAGCCAGCGAGCCAGTGAGAGATCAAGTGAGAGAGTAAGTGAGAGAGAGAGACAGAGAGGGAGAGGGAAAGACAGAGACAGAGACAGAGACAGAGAGAGATAGAGACACAGAGACACAGAGAGTGAGTGAGTGAGTGAGTGAGAGAGAGAGACAGACAGACAGACAGACAGACAGACAGACAGGCAGGCAGACAGGCAGACAGACAGACAGACAGGCAGACAGACAGACAGACAGACAGACAGACAGAGAGAGAGAGAGAGACAGAGAGAGAGAGAGAGAGAGACAGAGACAGAGACAGAGACAGAGAGAGGCACAGAGAGACAGAGAGTAAGGGAGGGAGGGAGGAATGGAAGGGTAGATGGAGGGATGGAGGTAGTAGAGAGATCCAATCCCCATGGCAGGGAGGAGGAAGGAAAAGTGTGAGAGGACAGAAAGAGAGGAATTGGAGAGATCCGGAAGGGAGGGGAGGAGGGGAGGATCGGACGGGAGGGACTGGGAGAAGGGGAAACCTTCGCTGTCGGACAAATGCGAAAGATTTTACGTCAAGATGCTCCTGGGCGACCAGTTGCCGCTTTGGTAGAGACAATGGATGTACGTTGCAGCGACACCCTGCCGCTGTCCCTCGAGTTCTCAAATTCTCTACTGCTCTCCCCGTCTCCCTTCCCTGCCTCCCTAGCAGAAGAGAGCGGCGTACAAGGATAGCACTACAGCCACAGATCAGTCGCAAAGGCGCGACAGGCAGAACATCGCAACACTGCCAACTTTCTTCGCAGCAAGTGTTTGAGTAGACAGAAGCAGAGCCAACGGAAGAGACATGTGGACATACACAGAGGTATGGAGCCAGAGCATCGAGATGGAGGCAGTAGCTTTTAAGGACATTCAATCCGGTCGAAAGAAGGAGATGTATATGGAGATAAAGTTTACGTCGATGAACATTTTGCGCTATCATCTTCAACAACATCGCGATATGCTCTAGGTTGTGAGTGAAGTCATGTCAGCACAGGCATGCGGCAATCAACACTTCATGGAGATAGAATTCTACTTTTGACTTGCTTTCAGATGACGTGGAATAATGGCATCAGGAGTTTCTTAGAATTCCTTACACTGCCACTGCCGATGCTCGTTATTTTTCCAGATCACCCACGGCTTCAGGCAGAAGAGTAGGGGCTAGATACACACAAAGACAGGATGGATTCTTTCATTGATAAGAGCTAAAAGACAAGCAAATGAGCCAAAGGACTGTATTCTATAGCAAAATCTAAATTTGTACACAAGGGATACTGTGGAATGTTTCGAATTCTGAGTACATTCCAGATCTAGCACCCGCCTTGAGTTTGCGCCTCTTCGAACATCTTTTTCGATGATCTGCTGGAGAGGGTTACGGCGATAGGAGGAGTTGAATGTAGGGACCGAGGAATAGAAGTACAGGTAGGGCAGGGAGCAGGGAGCAGGGAGCAGGGAGCAGGGAGCAGGGAGCAGGGAGCAGGGAGCAGGGAGTAGAGAAGGGAGAAGGGAGCAGGGAGCAGGGAGCAGGGAGCAGGGAGCAGGGAGCAGGGAGCAGGGAGCAGGGAGCAGGGAGCAGGGAGTAGAGAAGGGAGAAGGGAGCAGGGAGAAGGGAGAAGGGAGCAGGGAGCAGGGAGCAGGGAGCAGGGAGCAGGGAGCAGGGAGCACAGGGAGGAGACGGAGCAAGCAAGGAGACAAAAAAGCGGCCAACATTATGCTTATTATATATAACAGTACTGTTTTCAAAAAAGAAGAAGCTGGTTTTTTCTTTCTTTCTTTCTTTCTATTTTTTTTTTTGACTCTCTGGCAGTGAAAGGATACAACGGGCATTTTTGTCTGTTCGGTACTGAAGCGCTTTTTCCACTCCCCGTTATTGGTAAGGTACGTGCCCCCCTCCTGCTCCCCTCCTGCTCCCCTCCTGCTCCCCTCTTACTATCCCGCTCCCCTCTGCTCATCAGCTCCTGCCCCACACAAGCCCCTGCTCCCCTCACTCCCTGCTCCTCTCTCTCAGTCCCTGCTCCATTTTCTCCTCTCTTTTATATCTCTTTTGCCTTCCGTCGCAGTGTTGTAACTATTCTACAACCTTCCTTGCTGATCACTTGCGTGCTCTCTTTCTGGCCTCTCCACATAATCCACAACCATTACTTTCTTGCTCTCTATTTTGCCCCTCCGCATACTCAACAATCTTTAATCTTTTCTTTCTTGCTCGCTTGCATTGGAATATAGCGTGTTGTACGCTAGTCTCTTCACAAAGAGCTGTTCTTATCCTTCCTGCTTCCATCTTGAGCAGATGTTTGCATCCTTCCACTGAAGAGCCGACCCTCCTCCCTTCACTTCACTCTTGCTCACACTCATTTCTTGTGTATCTTTGCCTGATCTGTCCTTGAAAGATCAAGGCCATTTTCTCTTCATATAAAGATTCATATCTGATTATTGTCCACTTCCTTCACCATACTGACCCTGAGATCTCGGCAGCGAATTTTTCTCACCATGCTGTGCTAAAAAAGTTTGATGTTTTTGCAGACAAGAGGGAAAGTGGTAGGAATCTCTACTCCTCGTCTTTATAAAACACCAATGTCATCTTCGAGTCATACGATTTCAGTGGTAGACAACATCTCCTCCTCTCACAGAAACAAAAAAGGATATGCAATCAATACACAATAGATAGATACAATAGATAGAGTTCATGATGCAAATGATCTTTGATATCAAGACCTTGCAGCATCTGGTAGCTGCCCGAATCTTATTCTTTCCCTTCTTCTGCACTCGTTCTTCACAAGTAAAAATGAGTTGAATGTACAGCGCATAATTCTTTTCCCAGGCAGATATAGCACAGACTATGCCAGTTTGAATCAATTTATGCAAAAATCGTAGCAAAAAATCAGTAGACAAGATGATCATCTGGCAGACTCACTCTGTGGTATCCCGTGCCTCACATGGATGTGCGCATCTCTATCACAGACAGTATGCCTGAGATCTCAAGTTGATATGGACACACATAGAGTCAGAACCTATGTCGATTCAAGAGCACTCACGATGTGATACAAGCATTCCGATGCTGTTCCTCGCCAGATGCACTTCTTTGAGATTCTCGTGCTGCTTCATCCACCTCGCCACGGCCTTCAGGTAGCAGAGCCTGGAGTCAACTGCAGCCCCTCGAGCATCGTCCGGTCCAACACAACTAGTTAGTTCATGCTACCTCAACAAGAAGCTGCACTCTCTGGCAGCAGAACCCTCATGGCACGAACTGTTCTGTTCTCTTCTGTTCCTCTACTCTATTGACCTTGGCACGACAACCTCCGATCGACAACTCCGAAGCGAAGGCTGGTCACGTTTTCTTTACTACTCAACTGAGCTCCGAGCCGAAAATTCAAGGTAACCCCCTCATTTCCCCGACATAGTACCCCTACTGTACCGATAACTGTGTAGTAAACAGGAATGTCCTCTTCCAGTGTCGTAAAGTTACCTCCTGCCCCTGAGCTCGAGCCGCTAGAAAATCCCCACCGCGCTGGAAACCTCCACCATACCATCTCGTGACATCCCATCCACGTCTTCGATCCCACCTGTACTGCTTGCTCTTGCAAACATTCTTCCCTATGCCTATTCTGTTTCAGTCGAAAGTGAGCGACTAGTTAGATCCATATCGACATCGATCCATTACCCAATGAATGCCAGAGATCTTTTTCCAGATTTCCTGACACTGATGATTGATTACAGGCGAGCACGATTTCATACGACACACCTTTCTCCTATGGATATGAGTAATCATGGTCAAGGCTTCGAAAGCCCAATTGATCAACTCCTTCCCTTCGTCCCCCTCCTTCCCTCTGATGTACAGTCCTTCGTCTCCAGCTACCTCCCTGGCGACTCCGACGACCCCAAGCCCTCCTCCCAGCGCCGCGCCCGTCTTGCTTGTCGAGTCTGCAAGCAACGCAAGATGAAGTGCGACGACCTCAACCCATGCTCACGCTGCTTGGAGTCGAGCGCGGACTGCGTGCGTGACGGGGTTTTACCACCAGAGCAGCCGGCGGAGAAGAAGAGGGGGAGGAACCAGACGAAGCAGGCGTGCACATACTGCAGGGAGCGGAAGATGAAGTGCGAGGCACAGCGACCATGCTGGCGGTGCGTGAGGGTAGGGAATGACTGCACAAACGGATCGCCGAAGATAACGAGCAATCGACATGAGCAGGGAGAGATACTCCCTCAACTGGATGCAATGTGGTCTGGAGACAACTTTTCATCTTCATTCTCTCCGCTTCTTGAGGAGAGGTTGGTTTCTGAGGTGCCTGGTGATGTGTTCAATTTGAGATATCTTTGCTGGTTCTGAACGGAATAAAACTCTTCACTACTGTGTCATGACCGGCTGTTCACCGTCAGCCGCGCATTGCCTGTCACTGAGTGCTCACACCCACCCGCCCAGTGCCCCAAAGCCTGGCGACCTCGGCTCAGCGGCTCGCTGCCGCACCGGCCCTGCACCGGGCCCAGCGGCTACCGCCGGTCGCCGACTTCACTGTCACCTCCAAGCGGTCTCAGTTTAGAGTAACTCTGGCACCTCCGAGTCGGAGGCGGGCGGCGGACCCGGCGGCGTCCGACGCGCGGCGCCGCGGGCCCGCCCCGCCCGCGCGCGGGGTCCGCGTACAGTGGAATTACAGTTGAACGGTTATCAAGCCTGGGCCAGCCTGGCCCGAGTTAGGGCCTATCATCGAGTCCCGGATGAGTCGGACGGACCCGGCCGCCGGTACGCCGCTCTCAGGCTCGAGATCCGAATCACTGCCTCTCGGTCTCAGAGTCTCGCCCCGCCGGGCCCGGCCCGGCCGGGCCCGATGACGGCACTCAATCCGAGACGCGGGCGGCGGGCGCTGAGTCTCAGTGGCGGCCCGGCCCGGCCGGGCGGTCCCGACCCGGGCTTCGACTGTCAGCCTGTGTACCGTATGGTCCGATCACTGAGCCCGGTTCCCAATCCGAGCTCATTGCTCTCATACTCGGGTCACCAGTTATTCAGAGCCGTTAGAATCGTGTGGTAGCCTAGTAGGGTCCAGATAGGGCCAAAGGAGGGGTGTGTGCGTTGTGGGTAGGGCCCGTAATGCCAGAGGGCTCTTGAAGTCAAGGCTAGGAGAGCAGAGCTGATTATGGTGGACATGGGAGGGGGAGGAAGAAACAGAAGGAAGAGAGAAGTCAGAAGGTCCAGTGTAGCCTGAGAGTGGGAGCATGTGACAGCCTTCAAAGCTTGGAGGTGAAGAATGGGGGGGGAACAAGCTTACCGAGCATATTTGAGAGCCGGGTTCCCAGGGTGTGAGTAGGGTTCCGATCGGATCCCTGGAATACACAACCTTGACTCTATCTACTAGTCAAGTTGAATTGTTGTTCGTTGATCGCTGATCCGAATGCCATTTGCAAATTTATTCTCATTTTGCAAACCGCATAGAGGTGTTGTGTTTGAGGATTCCCGTCCTAGTATTGCTGGATGCTGGATGCAATCTCATTTCAATCTTGCGAATTCAGTTAGGGCGGTAAGCATCATCCAAGATGGAGTGGAAGACAGAATGAACACTAATCTAAGAGCTTTTCGTCTGAGAAAACAACTTTAGCTGACCTTTGTTATTTCTCTCAGATGTCTGATCCCGCTTCAACCATCAGAGCTGCAGCAACATCGGCTGATGCTCGAATGGCCATGATGTATCCGCTTGTGAAGGTGCCAGCCAAACGTTGATGTGCTTTTTTCCTTACATGCTTGTCTTCCTTGCAGACCCAGACTGACATGAAGGAGGAGATGAGGATAGAGGCAGTTGACGCTGTTATCAGTGCAATAGAAAAGTTCGGCAACATGAAGCCTCCCAAGTATGATGTAAGGAGCCAGAGATGATGATGCTTTCTTACTTGCTGTTGTTGACTGCTTCACAACAGCTTGCAGCAAAGCAAGTGAAGGAAACTATGGACAAGAAGTTCGCACCCAACTGGTGCTGCGTTATTGGCGAAGGTTTCGGTGCAGACATTGTGTACGAGAAGCAAACTCTGTTGTATATGTTTTATGCGGGAAACTTGGCGGTGCTGCTATTCAAGAATCCCTTCTAAGACAATCAAGACGACGGACACACCTCGACACATTTCGATTATAACCTAAACACTGTAATTGCTCTCTCTTACATCCTTTACCGTTCTGTAACTGTAAGTGAATTTTCCTTGGAAACCCCCAATGCTCATTGAAACAAGGCAGCGATGCTAGCTGCGATGCGGTGCTCCTCCACTCCCTCGAAGGTTCGCCTCCTCCAGAATCCTGAGGATCGATTCTGTGACTCGCTCTCTCTCTTGCTTCTCACGCGCAATGTCGGACCCGATGGTTTCCTTGAACTTGGACAACATCAAGATGATGTCGCGAGTCGACTCCTCTCTGATCTTGCTCTCGATCCTGATCATCTTCTGTATCTCCTCGGACGTGATGTCAATCTTCTTCAGCAGGTGCTCCTCGACATTCCTCCATTTCTCTCGCTCTGCCTGGAGGTTTTCTACGATCATCCCCTTCAAAGCATATTGGTCCACCTCATCGCCCCTTAACCTTTCTTGAGAATAGGATGCTGAACCTGCCTGCGCCTCGAGCGACAAGGAAAGGATCTTGTCGTTGACGAACTTCTCAAGTTTGGTCTCTGCTTCCTTGCGAGCAAGCCGCTCTAGATTGATGTCCAGGGACACAGCTCCCTCCAGCTTATGCAGATTCTTCTCGACCGTCTCCTTCATCATGGCGATTGATTCCTTCTCTGTGTCTGCAGCCTCTGAGAGCGCAAGGAACTTGCTCCTGTTTTCCTCAATGGAGCCCAGCACGGACTCTTCCAGAGCGCTGACTCGGTCCTCAAGCATTGCGAGTCGCACGACAACATCTTCATCGTCATCCATGTGTGAGCAGCGGGTTCCAACACTTAGAACAACAAGCGCGAGCTACGTGACATGGCGGGGCGTTTCAGCTCCCTCGCGCCATGTTTACCGCCTGCCTGGCAACCGCTGGGACAAAGCAACGCATTTTTGATCTTTGATCACTACTGACTTATAAAACATCACTGAGGCGAGCTTGATTTATTAGAGTGCAAAAAAATAACCTGAAATTGTTTACTCAATAATGCCAAATATGTACCACATCCCCTCCCTGACCACTGCGCAGTTTGTGGTTTGCCATGCGGGACCCCGTCCTTCGTCCATGCGGCGGCAGAGCCTCAAGGGAGGGCGACTGTGTGCATGGCCAAGGGACGGTCATGCTGAGAGACTAGTCATGAGAGCACGATCTAGTGGAAGAGACGCGCCCTCTTCCACTAGATCCGTCATGGCAGATTTCAGACCAGCGGATTCTGAGGTCGTGCAAGAGCAGGGTTTGCCGGAGAGATTTGTCGTGCATGAAATGATTGTAGACAAACTTTTGATTGAAGCCGACGATGTTGCCATTGAAATCTATCCTGATCAACGGCTTTCGCGACGAGAACTTCTCTCTAGAGCGTCAAACTCTTGTCTCCAATTGAAGTCCTTGGGCATCGAACCGGGTTCTTTTGTTGTCACATGCGTGCAGAGCTATCCCTTATCCGTCATCGTCCATCTTTCCATCATAATGGCAGGAGCAGTGATAATTCCATGTGATCTGTCGCAACCAGGGGAGGTTAACTCTCAGATGCCTGAAGAAGTCGAGCATGTGCTATACGAGAACTGCCAGGTGAGATTCTCATTTGATGGTTCTAAACAGTTGAAAACTTTTGGAAGGAGAGAGTTGTGGAACGATTGATTCAAAACTCGAACGAGCGGAGGATGTTTGTCAATGTTTGTAGATTTCGTTATGAAGAGTCAAACAGAGATGCGTTGGACTGTAGAGCTGCCATAGAAACCACAATCACAGCAAGCCATCTTTGCTGGTTTTTGAGACCCTTCTCTGTCGACACTACTTACATCAATTGCAGGGCATATCCAACTTCCGGATCAACCAGCGGTACTTCTCGTTATGTCCTCGCCGAGCATCAATCAGTAGCAAACTACATCATCAACCATCCTGTTCTCGTAGAAGAGGCCAAGGGAGGCAGGCAGAAGAGGATTCTGCTCTGGTCGCCTTTTGTCTTTGATCCCTACGCTGGAGATGTTCTAGCTGCCCTCTATCATGGTGCAGTCTTGTGCCTGTGGGACGGCAAGCAGGAAGATCATAGGATTGAAGCCAACGAATGGAGGAGCAACTTTCTGCTGGGTTGCGCTGGAGCGTTGCAGGCAACGCGGGCGACTCACCTGTGCACGACTCCTTCGATCTTGAACTACATCGCCTACGAGCTACAAGCAACTGAGCCGAGGGAGCTCGAGGCGAAACTCCCTGACCTGTCTGTGGTTGGGGTAGGAGGCGAGATGACGAGTGGGAGCATGGTCTGACGAACATGCTCCTGATTCTCATGTGAATTCACTGCAGGTCAACTTGTGGGCAAGCTCGTTCGTGCTATTGAACCTGTATGGCTGTACAGAGTGCTGTGTGTATCAGAGCGCTCACAGGATGCGAAGCATTCACGATCGATGTATCGTAGGTAAGTCGTTCAACTGCGGAAGCTCTGGAACTGACAGGAGGTGCCTTACTTTCTCTGTTCCAATGGACCAGGTGACCCGCTCCCTCGCGTTGCTCTTGACATCGTAACGGTCTGCATGCAACCGTCTCAGCATGATGGTCGCGCAGGTCGATCGTTCAGGGCAGCCTTGTCCCGATGGTGCATTCGGCAGAATCCGAATCGCTGGGGTGCAGGTGGGCAGGGGATACCTTAGCGGAAAACAGGACGAGTGGGCGGGAGGGGAGCTGCCTGATCATGCAGTGTTTGCGATGACGCTCAGTGGGGAGAGATGTTTCATCACGAATGATCGAGGGGTTGTTGGTGAGGGAGGGAAAATTCGATTTGCTGGTCGAGAGGACGGCAACGTGGTATGGCTGTTGATGTGCCTGGTTGTGCGCTCATAAAATGTTGGAGATGAAATGCATGGGTGTCGGAATCGACGTCTCCCGGGTGAAATTTAATGTGATTGTGGTGTTGATGTGATTTTCGTCTCCCTGCAAGGTTGAGAGTGTCCTATCAGCGTCGCGATCTGTTTTGGCTGCTGCGGTCGGAGTGGAAGACCTTTCGCAGAATGGCGATCAGATAGTCCAGAGGCTTTTTGCCTTGGTCATCCCGCAAAGAGATGTGGACGAGGAACAAGTGAGAGTTTCGCTGATCGAAGAATGTGTAAGGAACCTCCCATCCCATAGCATCCCATGGAAGGTATCGCCCATCGCACTACTCCATGACCTGGTTTTGACAAGAAAAGTTGCTCAGATCATGTTTGTGAAGACTTTGCCAACAACCATGACAGGGAAGTTGGACAGAAGAAAGTTGACTCGATTCCTACAAGACTCAGTACTGCATTCTTGATGTCTGCTTCCTGGTCCAGTGAGTGGAGTTGTTCCAGGTCGGTGATTCGGACAAGAACAACACTATTCCTCTAGACAAGGTCGAAGATTGGGTGCGGGAAGAATGGGAGCGTTCTGTGGCAGGTTTGGAACCTTTGCAAGTCGGTAGACATGACATGTTCAAACAGGTTTTATGAAATGTCAGCCTGACAAAGCCGAGAGAGATGATCAGGCCTTTTACCTTGCCAGAGGGGGAAATTCCCTTAGTGCCATCCGGCTCGTCTCATGTTTACTGCATCGAAGAGGAAAGCTTCACAATGACGGACCGGGTAACCCAAGAGCAGATTTCATGCGTTTGCTTCAGATTGTCCTGCAACAACCGCGAGCAGAACTCATCAAGACTGTTCGGATCATGTTTGATGAGCCAATGCTTGCCAAGGTCCGTGAGGAATCTCACAAGCGGAAAAGGGCTGATGTGGAAGAAACGAGTGTTGATGCCAGCCATAGAGTCTTGCGAGTGATCAAGGAAGGATGTTTGGAGTGGTGGGCTGGAGGTTGCTCGGCACATTCCAAGATAGAGTTTTCTGATTTCAGAACCAAGGCATTCAGCAAAGAGGTTGGTGTTGACATGTGGAAATATATGATGTGGCTAGAAGTTTTGTACTTTGAAGTGTGCCTCTGATATGAAACGGTTTCACAGGATCATTTATACTGCATGAAACAGTCCAAAAAGGCAAACCAGTTCCGAATACGTGAGAGTCCAGAGTTGTCTCCTGATAACGATTTAATCGTGAAGGATACAGCATACCTGTCAGGTTTCACCCTCCCTCCTGACTCCTCCTTGCTCAATGTACACAGACATAACAAACAAGACGTACTTCATGCATGTGGTCTGGACCAACGACCTCGCCAAGTGTGTGGATTGCGCTCCTCTACTCCTCTCTTACGTCACGGACGACACTAGCGTGCAGGTTCTCTGGATCCCCCCCCCCCCCCCCCCCTCCGCATTTTCTTCTCCTCCTCCTTGTCTCTGCCCCTCATCCTGCGCGACAGGTTGCGATCGCGTCCTCCCATGCTCACATCGTCAAGTGCATGTGTGTCCTCTCAGGGCAGACCCTCTGGTGTTCGAGAGTACGAGGAAGAGTAGAGGTTCGTCAGACTCCACCCTGTCAGGTCCTCTAACCCTCTGGCCTATCTTACTTCCACAGGGACCAGCTTCAATCAGCTCGGGAGGAAGGGTTGTTTTCGTGGGGACTTACGCTAACAGCGTCTTTGGCATTGATGCGGCTTGCGGCGACATATTGCAGGTGTTCTGCACGGGAGATGCTGTCAAGGTCGATGATTGTGTCGACTTGAGTTGGGCTGTAACGAGGATGGCAGGGAGGGGTGAGGGTCGACAGAGCGTCAGGAATGTCTTTCTTCGGTTCACATGATGGGAAAATCAGAAGCCTCTGTCGGGTCGAGGGAAGGGAGGGTGCTCTGAGAGAGTGGAGATGGAATGTAAAGTTGAATGCGGTTTGACAGGTGTTGAACTCAGAGATGAAGTTATTTGTGAGATGGGAGAAGCTGTGTTCGGAGCTCCTGCTGTCTTGATGGAGAATGTACCTCGTTCATCATGTTTTGACCCATAAAGTGACGTCATGGCTGTTTCAGAATGATATGAAGCTTGTTGCATGCTCCATCAAGGGTGCGCTAAACTTCTCCTCCCCTGTATCCATGTGTTTGAAATGATTGATCAGGAACAGTCAAGTGTATCTCTAACTCATGTGGGACCGCCATGACGGTAATGGTGGCAAGAATCGCTTTCATCTGAACAACCTTTCTGTTCATCCTGGCCTGTCGTGATATCTCGTCTTGGTTGCTCCCAGGGATGGAAGTCAGAGTGGGCAGAAAGCTGTGCATCCCCGGTATCTCTGTCCTTCATTTGTTGCTTCTCCCATCGCATCTCCTTGCCCATGAAACCTTCTCCTCAGATCTTCGCTTCTCCTTGCATCGATGTCGAGAGCTCCTCCAACATCTACATCGCGCATGCTGATGGAACTCTGAACAAGTTCAACATCGAGGGTCACCTTGTAAGATGTCAAATCTCACTTTTGGTCCTTCGACCCCTAAACGCTCTCCGGTCGTTGGCAGGTCTGGAGTGTCAGAGCGGCAGGACCCATCTTCTATTCGCCACGAGTGAGCTCATTCGCGCTGCTCGAAGTTCAGCAGGGCGTGACATGTTCGCCCGGCAGGTGTTGGGAGGGTTTGTTTACTTCGGCTGTCAACTTGGTTTCATCTACTCGGTGAGTTGAACTGACTTTGCGGCCCCCGGCTCATTCCTCCGGTCCCTTGAAGGTGAACAAGAGCGACGGGCAGGTCAGGTGGAAGCAAGCTCTGATCTCGGGATCTTCGTCTCCTGTACTTCCTCCCTCCTCCTGGTCACTCTCACCAGCCCCTCTCCCCCTCCAGGTCACGGGGGCTCCGTGCTTGCACCGAGGAAGCAGCGGGACCTTTGGTATCTTCTGCAACAGTGACGGTCACGTTGTCATGGTCAAGTTAGAGTGAGAGCAGCGGACCGTTGGATGTGCGGGGTTGGCTGACTTGGATCCTTGAGCAGGGACGGGCAGCTGCTGGGGATGTTGAGACTGGGGGGAGAAACTTTCTCCTCCCCAGTGTTCATCCCCTCGCTCCTTCTCCCGCACTCTGAAAGGTTCACTACGTCTTTGTGGTCCCTGGTTGACTTCCTGCCTTGCAGCGGCAGCGTCGGCAGAGTGTTTGTGGGATGCAGAGACAACAACATGTACTGCATCTCGCTAGAGGGGCCTGTCGAGGGTGCGGCGCAAGACAGAGCAAGGACGGCAGTCGTGCCATGAAAGTTTATCACTTAGCTCGCATGTCCTGCTCTCAGCTATCGCTGGGGATCTTGTCGACGTCGAAGGACAGACTCGACGTCCGGCGGACCTTTGAAAGGGACACGAGCTGAGAAAACTGACTCGAAGGGTCCGACAGAAGCTTGTTGGGCGAGTCAAACTCCAGCACTTGACCTTGGCCGAGCACGAGAACCTGGCAGGAAAATTCTTTCAACGTTCCCTCCAATCCAACCCCTCCTCCACCTCTCTTCCCCATTCCTCGCCCTGCCCCTTGATCTTGCTCTTACTCTCCTTCTCCTGCCACCTTGTTCTCCTCCTAATACTGCCGTACAAAACACATCCTAGTCTGCTTCCCCCACAGCCTCGTACCTTGTCGTAGTCGAGGATGGTGTTGAGTCTGTGCGCGATGGTGATGACGGTGCAAGAGTGACAAGCTCGTCGGATCGCCGACTGGATCATGGCGTCCGTCTCGTGATCGACCGCTGCCGTCGCCTCGTCCAGCACCAGGATCTTCGTTCCCCGCAGCAGCGCTCGCGCCATGCACAGCAGCTGAGACTCTGATGAGCATGCTGGACACAGAGAGGAGGGAGAGGGAGGGAGGAAGGGAAGACATGGGAGGAGGGAAAGAGATGGAGGAGGATTGCGAGAGGAGGCGAGAGGAGAGGAGCGATGACGAGCAAGGCAGGGCAGGAGGGCGAGAGGACCGAGAGCAAGGAGACGACACTGACCTGCCTCTGCCCGACACTGAGGTGGCTTCCTCCCTCCCCAACCTGAGCCTCCAGCTTCTCAGGGAGCGATCGCACGTACACGTCGAGCTGGACGGAGGCGAGAGCGTCCCAAAGCTGCTCCTCCTTGTACTCCCCGAAGGGGTCGAGGTTGTAGGCGATGCTCCCCTGGAAGAGCATCGGCTCCTGCGGCACGATCGCGAGCCCTTCACGGAGGAGGCCGACATGGGCACGGGTGATGTCCTGCCCGTCGATCTCGATCCGTCCTCCGCTGATGAGTGACATGCGGAACAGCGCCATGAGCAGGGAGCTCTTCCCGGCTCCCGTCCTTCCGCAGATGCCGACCTTCTCGCCGGCACGGATGGTGAGGGAGACGGAGGAGAGGACGTCGGGAAGGTCGGGGCGATAGCGCATGGAGAAGTTGTGGAAGGAAATCTCTCCTCGCGACGGCCAGTCCGACAGCTCAAGGTACTGCTGCTGCTCCTTGTGGGTCTTGTCGCCCTCCGTCCTCTTGAAGAAGTCCGTTGGGTTCTTGAGCACGGTGCCCAACCACTGGAGAGGAGGAGGAGGAGGAGGAGAGGAGGAGGAGGAGGAGGAGGAGGAGAGGAGGCAGAGAGTTAGAAGAGTCTATCACTGGCTCGCTGACATCTCACCTCCTCTTCCGACAGGATCTCAACGTACTCCGCGACTCGCTCAACTTTGAGCCAAACAGTCAGGCACCAATAACTCCTTCATCTCCATCCCATTCACAACCTCAGAAATCTGGTTTCTCCTTCACCAAACTTTCCGCCTCCTCTCTTCCTCCTCCTTTCACCATCGCCACTGTTACCCTCTCCTCCTCCTCCTCCTCCTCCTCCTCCTCCTCCTTCAACAACGCCATGTTCGCTCTTGTCTCACCGGAGTTCATCTGAGCCTCGGCCTCTGTGCTCATCCTCACCATCCACGCGAGTGAGTTTGTGACTGACAGCGCGAGCGTCAAGCTCAGGCCGACCATGCTCGCCCTGTGAGGAGAGTGAGAAGAGCGAAAGTGAACGAGACAAGCGCTTCTTCTTCTTCTTCTTCTTCTTCTTCTTCTTCTTCTTACCTCGCTGGATTGAGCCACCCGAGCTTCCGCGATACGATTCCTGCAAAATCGTCATCTCCTCCTCGTCCTGCTACTCCTCCTCCTCTCACCAGCCAAGGCAGCTCCAGTAACGATCCCATTGCCGCAGAGCTCAAGACGGACAGCCAGCCAGCGGTTGCAGCCGTTGATGAGGCTGAACAAGTTGTTGACCCGATCAACCTGCGGAATGAAAAGTAAACCACCTCCCTCCTCCCCTCCTCCCCTCCTCCTTCTCTCCTCCTTTCTTCTCTCTCCTTCTCTTTGTATTTGACTGCCTTCTGCCTCAATTGCTGTTCTGCACCAGGTTCATCATAATCCCATCCTGAACGCTTCTTCTTCCCTCCTCCTCCCCTTCTCCCACCTCCTCCTCCTCCCTCCTTCTCCCCACCTTTTCGCAATTTTCTTGGCAAAATCGTCCTGCTTGTCCTCCAGCTCGGATGATGGTACTGCCAGCGATGCTTTCCCTGCTCAAAAAGTGAAAACGAGACAAGCACCACGCTCCTCTCGTCTCTTCGCCTCCTCTTCTCTGCTCTGCTCTCTCCCCCTCTCCTCCTCTTCTCTCACCCGAAGTGCGAGTAGAGCGGGCTCTTTGTCGTCGACTCGATCCTCTTGAGCTCGCGTGAGGTCTTGGAGTAGAGCTGCTGCGTGTACCAGTAGAGGTACCCGACTGACAGGCGTCAAAGGGGAGAGCAGAGCAGAGAGGCGAGGCGAAGCGAGGAGAGGAGAGGAGAAGAGAGGAGAGGAGAAGAGAGGAGAGGAGAGGACCAGCAGGCCGGGCTAACTTGAGGGGAGGAGGGGCTTACCTGGGAGCAATGCGAAGAGGAAGGTAGGAGACACGTAGGAGATCATGGCGATGGTGCCGGCAACCCGGAGGATGCAGGTGTAGAACTGATTCATCGTGCGAGGAAGAGTAGAGTCAAGACTATCCTGATCGTTTGAGAACCTGGGATGAAGTGTAAGAGGAGAGGGAGGGGGGGGGGGGGGAGAGAGAGAGAGAGAGAGAGAGAGCTCAGGAAATCGGATTCGAATCGAGTGTTTATGTGTATTTTCAAGTTATTCTTGTAAAATTATTTAAAAAAATTTTAACTACTTATTTTCCATCTTTTCCTCA